TTTTCGTCCACTATTCAATTCGTCATTCCCCCCCCCTTATTTCTAATATTCTCAGAAGTATGATTTTTTGGACGAGAAAAAAATAGATAAGTGAAAAGTAGTAGAGTGCTGATAAGTGTTGTGGTAAGAACAATAAAGGTTTGAATAGATGTTTTTTGGTAAGTAAGGCCAGCGACTCGGAAAATTAGATAGTGAAATAATATTCATTAAAAATTAAGAAATTATGTCACAAGAAGTATTCAGATGAATTGAACAGTGAAGAGTTTATTGAAAAATGGGAGTTAAGGAAAAGTAAACGAAGAATTAAAGGTAGAGGTATTATAAATTTTTTATTCATTCAAGGAATTAAATTCTTAGCTCGAATCTCTAGGAGTCGAGAGTGAACCCCTTAAATAAAGATAGTAGGTACATACTAAATTAATTTCAATGACATGACCGTCACCGACCAAGTGTGACAAGATAAAGTTGCATATTCTTTTGATCACGCTTTTTGGTGGCTACGAAGGGAAGTGTTCACCAACCTGTTGGCTAAGTTGTTTAGTTGTAAACCCAGTATACTTTCCTCTTTCAGGAACAGTTAATTAGTGCATACACGTGGATATGGCAAAACCAAGTAACTTATCCTTTAATTGAAGGCCGACCATAGGTCACCTAGAAAATGACAGATAGAGGTTAGCTACATTAAAAATCTTCTTTGTTGATTTAGTAAGTCTATCTAGTTCTTCATCATCATCTAAATCTTCGTTGAATTTTTCTATTCATGTGTGTTTCTTCAGAAAACCTTGTGGACAATCGTTTCAATCCATATATTATGAATATGCTCTGGTTCATTGTTTATGGCGTCATCCGAACACATCTTCCCTGGTTCTGTTTGCAACACGTCTAACTAGGTTTCTCGTATAATCAATGGATACAAAGCCTAAGAAACGTGTATACTGGTTTGTCAAAAAAACCTTTTCTACGCACACTTCTGATGATAGAAATATTCTCTTCCGTTTAACACAAACTCAAAGACATGTAAACATTTTTTATCAAGTTTCTCCTTACACTTAATTCTGATTTCTGAGTGTATATATATTGTTAGCTTGCTCTTACAATTCTATTCTAATATTCTGATAAACGATCATGAAAGTATCATCACTGTAATGACAATAAAAGTTAGGCTTATACTAGCAATAACCAATTTGAGAGGTTCTTTTTCTGGTTTGCTAGGAAAAATTCAGCAAGAATAGAACAGAGGTGGACCCATTGTTATGTCATAAATTTTTCGATAATTTGTGTTATTATTCATGCAATTTATTCAACTGTGATATCACTGACTCTTAAGTTGACTTGATTGGTTGAAGAATTTCATATATCCCTATAAATTGTATCATATATTTGAATCAAGTCTAATAAGCACTTAATTGGAAACAATTTTGTTCACTTATAATTCACAATATGAGAATTTTTAGCACTTTAAAAATAGATGTATTATGATGACCATGTACTATCTGATTCAAAACTATATTCTTCATATAACAACTAATTGAAACTATGTTTGACTGCATTAATCATAAGAAATAACGAAAGATATTTACTCTGTCGTAAGTACTCGAAAAATATTGTAGCGAAAAGTTTTTATGAATTAAATAGTTTAACTGTTAAGTCTGTAATATTATTCTGGACAACATCACCAGTATTTATTTTGAAAAAAAGGGATCTGCCTAGGTATTCCACAAGTGTTTCATCATTTTGTTCTTGCATGATCACTTTTATAGGTTTCATTTACTTTCATACTGCGTCTTAATCAAGTAAACTGTCTTCTTCGGTTGATTTCTAACTATGTCGTTAATGAACTTTTTTCATGTGGGTTGATAAACTGAGTCCGTTTAACTTTTTCTGACTATTACCACGTAATTTTTATAAAAGTCATTTTCCGTATAATTGATGTGGAATAATCTATTGTCCCATCAAAAAAATACTACTGTGGATTAACACGGACAATAACTAAATATCAATCATATAGATAGTTAGTAGTGTACCTAATAACTCAGTGGTAATGTTTCGAACCGAGACGTGTAATGACATCGATTCTCATAGAGCTGGAGATGTTTGCCTCTCAACCAATTAGTACAACAATCAAATACGAGGTTCAAATCATGATTCTATCTAATAGAATACAGATTGTTCTATATGTATCCACTCAAAGTGTTTAATTACGGTTTATCAGTATTGAGTAATAAGTCCCATGAATATTACATACATTAAATGTTACATAAATCTAGACGAATAATTCAACATATCAGTTGCTGATTGATCGTACAAGTATGAAAGAAACTCATAGCTGATTGTTAGTGAGTACAATGAAGTTCACTTGTGATCAAAAGTCAAACGTATCTACAATCACCAGTAAATGAAGTTAGTGTGAATAGGCATAGCTTTTTACATAAAATTATATTTGGTATAAAAATAATATCAAAAGTGAATAGTTTTGAAGTTTCAAGAAGAATACGCTCCGGTCACTGTGTTTGTTATCCTATTTTGATAATATATGTCCAATTTGATTACAATTAATGAGTGACATGTACGTAACATCAATAGAGTTTTGATGTAAACTTGGAAAATGAGCTTAAATGTTAAATTTATTCAATTGGTGTTCATCTTCTGATTTTGATTACTGAACATTAAACTGCCAGACAACATATATATCAGTGTTTCTCTATTTCGAATAGTCAAATACTCCATTTTTTTTAGCATTATAGATATATTTCTAGTAGCAAAGAACACCACAACCAATGTCACAGTTAACCATTAAATTTATTTGGGAAAAAATAACGAAACTCTTTAGGATGTAATCACTTTACATGTCGGTTGAATTTGAAAGTAATTTTCATGATAGATTTTAACTGAATGATAAATTAAAACTAGGTGCTTTGGAATTGTTGTTCTTGTATAGTGTGTTTAGTAGCGATAAAAAAAATACGGTTCATGTAATCACTTAAGTATGTCTATTTTGTAACGGTAACAAAATGATTTCGGTGAATATAAGCAGCTGACGGATATTTTGCAGGTGTATATTTTGTGTATACATTTTAGTGAAAAAAACACAAAAGTCTCATATACTAACAATCAACACGTCTGATCTCTCACTTCATGAACATCTGATCCCCGCCTGAAGATTCTATTCTCGAATCTCAATATTTTTAAATAGGTCTGTGAATAAGTTTTCTGAGCAATAACCTAAGAACTAATGGAAGTTCCTGATTTGCTGTGTTGTTTTTTTCAAACTACTCACCACTATACACACAATTTTTTCACTGTAATTCGGTCAGAGTCCTGTTCCACATACAAATACAAAAGCAGTTATTTTATGGTGTTAATTTTCTTCATGATAACATGGGTAACAGAAGTTGTACAAATTTATCTTTGAATGTTTTGCATTACAATAACCTTCGTTTATTTATTTATCTCGCATTACTGTTTGTCTTTTCATTTCCTAGTCATACACAGACAATGATCTTCCTTGACAAGTGAACTTAGTGGAAGTTATTGCTTTAAAAACTTTTAGTCAGTAAAATTTCTCAGCAGGATAGAAATATCTCTTACAATCAAACATAATCATGTAAATTTAAGAGTACACGACACAAAGACCATTTTCATGTGTACGTAAATACAACACAGTGTTTTTGATACATTGAACAGTTTCAATCCGTTGAAAATGTTTTTGTTTTAAATCCGTCCTGTTTGCACGTGTAGACTTTCATAATTTGAAAATCCTCTCCACAGGAGACTTCATAGAAGACAAGATTCACCAAAAAAAACTATAAACAGGTTATTAAGGATTATATTTTTTAGGTGACCTGCAATCTTAATGTTTAACAGTGGCAACTAGTTTGCAGTTTCCCTTATCTCCCCCCACACCTTAATGTTCATTGTTGTCTATAATTTTTAAATATGCTGAAACAAAAAATGTAACGTCTCTTTTTTACGTTACACCTGAATTAAATTATAAAAGAATGAGTGTAGTTTACTTATGTGTAATTAAATAACCTCATCAAGAATAGGCAATTCTCTTGACTTTGTTCTAAAAAATGAGGCTAAAATCGGAGTCGAAAATGCTAAGAAAGAGCATGTGGTAAGCTATGGAGCTGATTGGAGAATTTCAGTTGTTTGGTTGTTAAACAACAATGTGATTTTACCTCATTGTTATTATACTACTTTAAAGTAGCTCAAAAAGTTTATTGAAAAAATGAAATCCACAGGCGACGAGCTTAACTACGAGCGTTAATTGTAAGAATTTAGATTCAGATCATGAGGTCAGTTAAAATAGGTGGTAGACACAGAATCATTTGTCGGCTCGTAACTCAGTGAAATCACATTGAGCGAAACCATCAGTTAATTGTTACTTACTCTCTAAAAGAAACTCAGTTTTATTTATAAAGTTTACTAATGAACATATTCAGTAGAAAGGGGGAACATAAGGAAAATTTACTCTTCATAGTAACTCAGGAATTATTGTTTCACTAACTGTAAGCAATTTTCTGTCTATAAAATTATTCATTCAGTATTGTAATAAGATTTTCAAAGATCCAAAGTCAAACTCGCTGTTAAACATTCCTTGATGATTAGATTCAAATCACACTTGCAAGCATCGGCTAGATGATGATGATGATGATGATGGAATATTTGTTATTTACATGAACTCTTTTGCACAATAAAAACTTTTTTCTAAACAAAGTGGTACTAATCATAATCATAAATTAACATATCAAAAGTTACATTTTTTGAATTTTCCAACAATTTCAGTGTTTGTTCCAATACTTTAAAATTAACTGGCTTCTTTTTCTGACAGATAACGTTACATTCAGAGGAGTTAATAGAATGTTGAACACATTTTTATAAACTTTTTTTCGCATCGAGTATCGCTACAAGTTAATGCAGAAGTTAAAATTATTTTTATACACACTCAACAATATTGTTTCTAATCTTTTTTTTTATTTACTTTTCCACATTTTTAGAAAATGTTACTCAACGCAATATTTACACAGAAAACTTGAAATCCACATCCGAACAGTTGAATTCGAACGCCTTATTGAGCAATTTAGCATTATGGAATTTATTTTTTGATGGTTTCCCTAGTAATTCCTCAAGACAGAAGGATCCTACACAACAATATCAAGTCAATGATGATTATTATCGTAATAATGATAAATCAATATCTACACAAGACATGATATCGACTAATTCAACAAAACCAATTGACTTATCAGTATTGTCGACAGACATAAATTCAAGAGCGAATATGCAACAGTGTGAAACTGTCTATCAGACACCGACGAAAATAAACGAATCGTTAACTGTAAATCCTTATTTAAACTATTACTACCATCCGAAGAATATTTCATCGATATTGAATACGCTGAACGGTTTATTAAGCATGACAAATCCTTATATGGAATCAGTTCACCAATTGTCTGTGATTAATGATTTGAACACATCACAACCCAAATTTTCTGTGAATCCAACTCTATGTTCTAATGAACGTGATAAAGACAATGACATTAAAGATTCTGTGATTAATGTTTCGCAAGATGACACATTAAATGCATCGACACGATGGGTTAAAAAGCCAAAATTTTCAATTTTAGAATTAATTAATACATCAAAAGATGAAGTCGATTGCTCTGTACCTGACCAAGGTACTAAAGTTTCTGGTACTAAAAAATCAGGGAATAATACAAGAAATAAGCTTTTAAAGTGTCACTTATGTAATCACACCTCTTCTACACAAAGTAACTTATTAAAACATACAAATAGTTTGCACAACACCCAACGTTTGAGGCAGTCAAATTCACTAGGTGTCCCATTAACCTCATCATCATTACACGTAACAGAAAGTAATGAACCAGTGATTTATGAGAATAAAAATGGTAAAGTATTTCAAAATTTGTATAATACGAATAAATCACGAAATGTTTTGTTAAATACTACTGACATTAGTTCATCAACAGGAGTTGGTGTAATGTCTTCAATCTCTAAAAGTAGTAAAAATGATTACAATAATGACTATTCAAATCAAATGAATCCTACAATAACCGCAACAACAACTGTAACATCTGCTGTATCAAACCATCACTATGGTCATCCATATTTCTGTCATTTATGTAATAAAGTCTATTATTCCGTGTCTGCGTTAAAAATGCATGTACGTACGCATACATTGCCTTGTAAATGTAATTTATGCGGCAAAGCATTTTCACGGATGTGGCTATTAAATGGACATTTAAGAACTCATACAGGTGAAAAACCATTTGCTTGTATAATATGCACAAGAGCATTCGCTGACAGATCTAATTTAAGAGCACATATGCAAACCCATTCTGAAGTAAAACGTTATCAATGCATACATTGTGATAGGACATTTTCACGTATGGGCCTATTAACTAAACATCAAACTACTTCATGTCTTCAACAAATGAAAAAACCAACAAAATCACGAAATATGAATAAAACTACTGAATATATATTTGATAATAAAATTAAACCTGAATCGAAACAATTAAGACATGTTTATTAAAACAAAAGAAAATGTAAAGCAAATCATTCTTAGTGCAATATTTATCATTTATTCAGTATTTATTTGTATTATGTATTTAAAGTTGATGTCAGCTAAAAAGAAATGACACTATGATTACTTAATGGGAATTGTTAACTCTTTTATCAAAACTTCTAGAGTAGGAGGTTTTTTCAAAGAATAAATGAAGAGAGTACAAATGAATAATAAGCTACTTTCACTGAGTTTAATGAAGATATTTAATAATCAATCAAGTCGGTCTTGGAGACCTGGGAGCGTGACTGCAGAGTTCAACGGACAACTGGCTGAGGCCGGTCACACACAGCCTTTTTATGAGAGGTTTTCTGAGTATTAGCTCCGCTCTTAAAAGCCCTTAGTGGGCTGCCCTTACCGACGGAGACGGAAACCTGTGAAGTAAGGTGAGGTGTGACATTTTTAGGGTAGACCTTTTCTATCCCCTTTCTTCCTCCATTGTGAGAGGGCCGCACCGCTGTAGATACTGATTGTCCGAGGGAAACACCTTACTGCTGTCACACCCCTCTACAGTCGGCAGTACGACTTCGCCCTCAGACCGTGAGTAGCTGCTTTTGGTCTCATCGTTCTCCAATCTACCTGGCTGGCATGGTAGAACTTGCAAGAACATATGTTCCAGCCAATATAGCTCGGTTGGGTCATCACGATAGGCAAGAATTTGGTTTCATGAGTTTCATGTACATTTAAACTTGTTTTGAAATGAGCAAACAAAAACTACAGACTAAATTTGGACACATATGCGTAAATTTTAATTTTTACCATCCAATTGTTGACTATTGAGGGAATCTACAAGAATGTTGTATCAGATTAGATTATATATATTATTTGGAAGAAATAGTAAGAAAAACAATCACTGCATACATGATAAGTAGGAAAAAAAGTCACAACAAAATAAAATGAATTGAAAACAATCTGTTTCGTTGTTTGTTTTTTCTATTTCGTCGTCTTGCCACCACGTTTATTGAACCATGCATCGCTTTTGTCTGAGTCGATAGCTCCTTGAAGTAAATGATCTGCTTGTGGATCCATTTGTTACAACTGTCTGAAAACTTCATTGCCAAGAAAACAAATTTCATGACCATCTGAACTTTAACAGTCAATAAATGAATTGAGACATTTTGTGAAAAACTGGACAAGTACTGAAGATTGAATTGTAGTCATGAAACGTCATAGTTTCATCTTTAATTAGGCATTAAAATTAGCATGAAAATAGGGACCAGAGCGAAATTTTACTGAAAGATATTGATCTGAAACTCGTAGATCACTTGATCTGTTTCATTGGAATTATGATTATACCTTATCATTTTTGATCAATTTTTTATCGAGATAATTTTTCACTTACGAGTTACACTGTTTCTTCAATTCCTTTAAAAAGTTAACTTGACAGAACATCATTTTTATCAGCATAGTTATCGAACAATTAAGAAGTCAGTGAAAGATTACCTATGTTAAGCAATCAGAGGTGAACTTATTATATAAACACGATATTTTTATTGTGACTAGATCCTTACTATGTTACATTTTAATTGGAGAATTATGCCTTCATTTGAGAACAAATAAGATTCGATTCAACTCCAATATATACTGCGTCATTACAGTACCACAAACATTTCATGAATGAAGAATGTGCGATACAAGTCTTCTTTATAATTAACTAAAACTTTTGATGAAATAGTATTAAAATCAGTAACTTGATATCGCTAATCCATCTATTCGGATATGAAACTATTGATAAGAAGATATACTCAAAATTCAACAGTTAAAGTAAGATTAACCTAGATAAATCGTATTCTATTGTCTTCTTACTACAAAGACATTATGTTTAAAATACATAACTTGAGGAACTATGCAAAGAACCAGTTAGAACTATATTATCAAGTCCAAGTATATTTTCTTAGTGGGCTATTATTATCGATTATTAAACCGGCTGGTTTTTGGTAGTATAATCCATGCGGATAGTTTCAACAAAAAATTAATATCATCTAAAGAACCGCTACAAACTGACTAAACACTAAGCAGTTGTTTTAGAACTTCTAAACAGTGTTCATTATCGATTCTGTGGGAACTAATTCAAGAATATAAGGTCTCATATGTTACTGCTGCTTGAATAATTAAACCGACTCCTGTTAAATTCCATTCAGAGATATAACGAAAACGATGAGTAAAAAATATCTACAACAATTCTTGGTTTCCCAGTTTGTGATAGGGAACATATTTAATTACCTTGGCACAAACTACTCAAATGAAAACTAATCCATTTTGTTAATAACTTGTTATAAAACGAGTGCCGGAATGTCCTAATAAGTATCCATAAGGCTATAGTTAGTGGATATTGAGAATCAATATCTCTAGATAACACAGATTATGTTGTGATCAGTAATGTCTGAGAGTTGATGCTGATACACAACCTTTTCGCACACGAGCCCGAAAGCCTAACTGAGTGAAAAGACGTTGAAAAAATAAATTTATATATATATATATATATATATAAAGAGAGAGAAACGAAAGCCATGTACTATTCGTTAATGTGTACTTATCATTTAACTGATTTCTGGTTGACCTAATACATCGAACATCACTAAACTGCTTTGATACCTTTCAAGACTATATCCTAGAAGGCTGATACTATTTCTTACCTAAATGCTAAGAACAAAGGAACTCCTAGTTGACTTCCATCTGATAATCGAGCAATTTACTCAAGGTAAGTAACCAAGAAAGCACGAACACAAAGATAAAGATGCCAAAAAGTACATCACTCGGTAGCATACATCTCATTTAGACTTACATCTTTTCGCACCACTCATCGTGTGTTATTCCAAGTTAAACAAACTGGTCTAACAACATCCTTCTCACATCATTCGGTAATAAGACCAAATGTGATAATATGAATGAAATTACAAACTCAGTGTGTGCCATAAACCTATCGAATGTACAGAAATAGTATCCCATAGAATTTTCCTCATTTATAAATTTTAATTAAAAACAAACAAAACGATCACAGTAAAATAAAATATGAATTCACTTATTTCGTGGATTTTCTCTAGCTGTTTAACACTTAAAAAACTATGATAATAATTATATAAAACCGATGTACAAACTTAACAGTATATCTATGAAAATTAGTGAGTATTCACTAAAAATGGAAAAATTATACATGTTCTAACACTGAACGTTTATATGTTAATTAGAAGGAAAACTCTTAAAAGGTTTTAAGAGGTTCCCGAAAAATGACAGAGTAACGCCCAAAAAAGACGCAAGAATGAAGAGAAAGATTTTATAACCGAGAACATAAAACACAACGTTATTCAGTTAATTTAAGCAAAATACTTCGGATCCATTAGCCAAACACCATCAGCAACAACCTACTTTCAGAAAGAACAAACCAGATCCCAGGACAAACACTGCGGAAAGCACCGAGCTGCGTTAAGGACAAGGAAAAGAGGAAGGCCAATAACACATTACGCCAAGAAATAGGGAAAGACATGAGAAGAAGTAGGTTGGTAGAGTAGGTTGGAGAATACTGGTCGGTGCCCTATGCTTTATTGGGGGTACCAGGCGTAAGTATGCAGTTAATTAACATGTTTATTCGTGAGGAAATTGTCGGAGTTCTAGTAAAAGGCAGTGACCAGTGGAGATTCACTGTGTCGGATGTGGGGAAGTTACCCACCAAAGACAATGGATGATAGTCGCGCAATATCGTGGATTGATTGAAGTTTGCCATTGACACTGTTGGCTGCCAAGTCACTGGTCTGGAAGTCAAGCGTTCGAGCGCGAGACCGAAGATCCTGGGTCTGAGTCCCACGTGCAGGATCATGAAAGCACACTGATAAATAGTCCTATACTATAATGAAATAACCATCCAGTGCTTCAAGGTTCCCAATGGTAGTATGAAACTAATCAGTTCATGATTTCCATGAAACTCTACAACCCTGGACGGTCGTTTCACTGGCTGTATCACCTCTGAATTGTAAGCGTATGGACAAGGATTTCTCACTCACTTTGTATTTCGCTTATTTTAATCGTCATGATCTTATATTTGTGCATAAAATTCGTATTGGTATTATTATTGGCTTTACATAACTATTAATGTCCCCGATTACATTACTTTGTTATTTCTTTTTGAATTCACAGAATTTTATACAGTGTAAAGTCTGCCCACTAAACAGTTGATTGAATTTGCCATACCACATTAGTACACGCAGAGAGCGGATTGTCAATTCAAATCCCATAGTAGTAGAAATATTAGCAGTAATCGGAGAGATAAGGGTTCGAAGAAGTATAATCTAATGACAAACTTAAAAAGAGAAAGATAAAGGCGGTAAAGAATCCAGAACATTAGGATTGGAGAGACGCCAAAGAATGGATGCATTCGCGCCATTGCAAACGGTTTTGATGCGTGTCATTTAAGGTCTCTAACTATCGATTATTATCATCTCGCAGGACCCCAACCAGATAGTCTGCACTTATTCGAATGACTCAATCCAGTTGTCAGTGACTTCATGAATCTGTGCCATGAATTGGTTTGGTCGCCCCTAGCTTTCTTTCAACCTACTCCTACACCACAAAACATCGCTCTTCGAGGCGGTCGGTGGTAGGGCATCCGTAATACATGTCCCGACCACCTCAACTGATGAACACTCACTACTCCATCAACTGAATTGTCATCCTTACTTAGTTTTTGAGCTGGTGGAGAAAATTTGTAGTTCACGTGGATCCAGTTCAGAGAACGAAACCTCACTACATCCTTACCTTGAACCCGTTCCCTAACAACAGGATTGCTGACCAGATAGTTCTACGATAAGCGAGCAATGCTCCGGAGATACCTATAATCACAAACCAGTAACCTACGAATATCTTCTACTCTTACCGGGCATGTTTTACAACCAACCGAAGCGTGGCCGAAGGCCACTTGAACTGATCCCTGAAGTGTTCTGCCCATCGATCTAATCTCCTGGATTGAGAATGAATAATAAGATAATCTTTTCCGAAATAGTCTCACTTAAATTAGGGTTTCTAACGCTGATTTCCTTGACAAGTCTTAATAGTTGTCTACTGTTAACCATCACCGCTGCCTATTCCATCTCTATTGCTTTCTCTACTCACCACTGTTGTCGATCACTGAGAAGGCTTTTTATCAGCCTGTGCCTAAGCTGACTCTGCTCCTCATCGAACTCAGAGCCAGAAGGGATGAGTTTACGAGCATTTATCAGTTCAGTAGATGCTACTGAAATCCACGGCTTCTCCCTAACCTTATGGTTTACCTTACTAGCAGATATTACTGCTGTTTTCACCAGCGCTTGCACTAGAGCATGATATGAATCTAAACAAGTATTCCAGGATGAACGGCAGTCTTCAACCGAGACTCTCTATCGATGGCTGATAGCAGTGTGGTCTAGTTGGGTCCATCGTTGGATCGGCTTTGGGGGGTCGCCATGTCGAGATGTTTTGTCTTATGCTTCAAGGTAGTATTTGTTAGATATATGCGAATATCTGAGCATAGCTGCAACAGACGGTCGCCATTATCTGATCTCTGAGCCATAATACCATAAGATTCCTTTACACTCAGACTACGTACTCGGCCATTAAAGTCACCAGCCATTATAACTATATCAGAGCGCTCAACTTTTTGAAGAACGTTAGGAAGGTTTCTGTAAAACTCATATTTTATCTCATCCGAGCTGGAGTCAGTAGGAGCGTAGGCAGAGACAACAAAGAGGCAACGGCGAGTTTTCCTATCTTTATGAGTCCGTACTGTCCCATTTAGTCAGACAGAGAATAAGCGACTGTCTCCTGGGGTCCAGTCTAGAAGAGCTAGTTCTGGCCTAGGACTTGATACTATACCTACACCAGCGAGGCCATGGAAAGCAACAGCAGGGCTTCCAGTTACATGAAGTGTGAACTGAGATTGCTCTTTATCTTTACATGGTGAGTTCAAATGAATGACCCTACTCGTATCCAGTATGCGCATTTCGGAGACGCAGCATACATCGATGGCACGGGATTTCAGAGTGCTGGCTAAGGAAGCCTGTTGCCCTATTTGACACAAGGTTCGAACATTAGAAGCCCCAACATGTCGTTTAGAACGTGGTTTTAGGAAACGAGGAAGAACGTTTAGTGAGCTCGAAACGTTTGCATCGGCGGCGCGAGGTGACAAAGGAACGGAAGAAGCGTCAGTCGTGGAAGTAAGAGTTATTAGCAAGGATTTGATTCTGACCGATTCGGTCTCGTGTGCTTTTACGGGTATGAGGGTGGCTGTTACTTCCCGGCTGCCCACACCGCATTTCAGGATAACTGCTGACTTGTCGACCGTTGTTTGTATCTGTAACACAAAAGAGACTAAATGTTTCTTTACAGTTTGAGCGTCTTCCAGTTGTGCAGTAATGAGTATTTATGATAAGTTATTTAGTTCACAACTGGTCCAATGAAGCCTCCTAAACCACAAATTTAATTTAATGGCCAGTCATATAATCCCAACTAAAATTCTACTATCCAAAAATGGGAAGCGTGGGCTTTATAGATATAAAAATAGTACCATATGAAAGTGTTACATAGTTCAATGATCATAATTCATCGATTTGTCGATCAAATTTGGCCATATTTATAAATAGATGCCTACACCTGTTACCAACTAGTTTATTCAATTTACTAAATGATTCGTTCCAAAAATAACAAAAACTGCACTGTATGATAAACATTTTAATGGTAAGTTACAATTTAGCGAGATGATGTTATGTGTAGAAGAAAAATATGGAAATGCAGTAATTTTATCAAATAACCGGAAACATTACTACTTTTTTATGTATTCGGTTTATTTTACATTCATAATCTTCCAACAGACGGATTGATATTGTAGTGCTATTAATGAATACGGTACTAGATATTAAAATGAAAGTTTATGAGCAATAAATAGTTTTAAAAAACCATTTTCATGAGGACAAACTGAACTCTTCAGCGACTGCACATGCAGCGCTGTAGACAGCATTGTTCAACCCAACACCGTCATACGAATTACCAACAAGATATATATTTCTTAGGCAAGAACTATGGCCATTTGAAGTTCGCCGAATGCCGTCGCGCAAATTAGCTACATTAGTTAGATGACCTGGAGGATACTGAGGAATGCAGTTACGGAGAATACTAATATTACGACCAACAATGACCGGATCCGGTATTTTAAGATGCTTTATAAGGACCGTTTTTGCAACCTCTTCAATATCATTTTTCAGATATTCTAAGGAATCTGACTTTGTGGAGGCTTCCAGCCACTCGGAAAATGGTTTCATCATAATCGTATATCGTAAATTCTTATTAGATCCATCCAATTTCGGGAACGCAAAGGAGTCGTATATTACACCTAAAATATGCTTATCTTCCGTACGCGGTACTAAGTGCCCAAACCCGCGTACCAAGGGGGTAAAGGAACCGTCTATTTCTAGAACAGCACTGATAATACTTTCCCATGGAATACAGTCGGGTTTTAGATAGCTTAAAGTTTCAGTGGTTAATACATCCTCCAAAATTTCCGCTGTAATGAAGGATGGGCAGCAAAAAAAGATTTTATCAGCCGTATTTGTTTCTTTTCTGTTACAATCGATGTGCTTGTAGGTATACTCAAAGCAGCTGCCTAGAGATCTCAATTTTTCAACGGAGGAGTTTAACTGCAAATTGATTTGCGGATGATTCTTACTTAAATGATTTACAATGGTGTCAATAAGTGTTTGTAATCCACCTGACAAAGTCCAGGCAATCGCACCAGATGGAATCAAGCTACCCAGTTGAGGGAGTTTTTCATCAATAATATCTGGTATAACGATACGATCAACAGATTTGTTTATCTTTGAAAGTAAAAGTCCAAGAATAAGATTCGGTCCATATTCTTCCGACTTTACCATCTGAAAGAATACATAATAAGGTGTCATCATAAACACTGAATCAAAATAGGACAAATGAAAGCATTAATAACCTTAACCTGTTAAATTAATGACTGAAATGACCTACACAAAAATCTGGGGATTAAGCTTCATCAGACACTTGTCTGTGATGATAATAAAACTTGAAGGAATTTAAGTACAATATGAAAAGATAGTCTCAATCGTAACTAAGCCAAAAAACACATTTTATTTGAAGGGTGATATTCTTTATCTAGGTACAGTATTTACATATATTCAAGCTTACTAAAATTGGTCAATTATTTGTATAATGAAAAAAAATGCTAACTCTAGAAACGCACAAAATCAAACATATTGCGAAATTTACTTCGAAGGAATATAAAAAGCACTCTTAGATACTGTTTTACTTCAAACGTACAGGATGTTAAAAGAATTGATGCTATTTTAGTAAGCAGCTATTATAAAAACATATTAAATTACTGACTCATTTGTTATATGTGTATGCTTTGAAAGACTGTAAAGTAATATTTAAAAGATCAGTAGTGATTCTGGAACTTTTATTTTTTCAGACTAATAATCCCAAAAATCTTATTTTTTGGTAGATGCGATCGATAAGAATAAGCATATCCCAAAACCTTGGGAAATATTGTGACTATACTGTTACAGTTGTATTCTTGAACTTACTGTGAGCTCAATAAACAGGCGACTTACCGCGGGCAAACAAGCACGAGCACTAAGATTTCGTGAATCTCCAGCGAAAATACCTCTCATAAAAGCACTACCAAAGTAATCAGCGAACTCGGAATCAAAACGAGAACGAAGGAATTCATCAACAGTCCAATCTGACTGGTATGGTGGGCGTCGAGAAAACAACCGTCTGATGAACAAACTGCAGTTAGACCTGGTGAATGGTTTCAAAGTAGAGAAAGTGAACGCAGAAAGTGGCAACAATTGGTCATTTATATACAAGAGTCGCTCCGCCCCATCTGTATTTTTCCTCATCCATACAAGTGAATTTTCGATACCGAAACTTTTTACTATTCTTATCAAAAGATCTGATGTAGGAGAACTTGCACGAGCGCTGTGTGGACCGATTTCATAAATTGATCCAGTGTTTGGATTTTTAACTGATTGAATCCAACCGCCCCACCTATTGCTGCTCTCCAAAATTGTTATGCGGTAACTCCCCAGTGGTCGGATTAATGAGATGAAGTAAGAAGTAAGCAAACCAGACAAACCACCACCGACAATTAAGTAATGAGGGACACACATTGGAAATTGTCTCTAACGCTACGAGTATAATTAGTTCTGTTGGTTGATTATCCACACGGAAACTAGTTTTATAGTAGAAAAACAAATGACAGATAATGTAAATTTTGTTAGAGGTTCAGTTTGTTACGTTATCTGAAATAAAAAAATATGGTAGGAAAGGCTGAAGGGATAGGCGTATTTTGGTCTCAACAAGACAAATGAAAATAAGCTACCAAGTTAACACACCGTGGGGACTTTATCGATAGATTCGAGCAAATCAAACGACAAGTATTATCCATAGACAAATGAACAAACGAGTGCCTACTATATCAGTATGATTAAAGTAAATTTTCTCTACAATCTACTTTATTGTTTGCCTCATTTTTGAATTGGACATTGCAGTTCGAATGAGCGTAATATCTTGCTTAAATAAGTGTGTAATTACTTCCAAACAAACCTTTTAAATCCGGAAATATTATAAAATTTCTCGTTTGTACATGGTGATAACCAACAGTGATGTACGAAATTTGTTTACTGAGAAATTATGATACTTTCAGAAGGGTGAGGCTTATACAACTAAGTCGATCGATTTATTGACCGGGTTCAATAAAATAGTGACTGCTCAGAAATATGTGTTTGGCAAATTTCTATCTAAAGAATCAAAACATGGCCAGCGAAAGCAGAGGATATTCGTAGGTTACTAGTATTCGATCATATGTTTCTTCCAAGCATCGCACATATAACCTGGGACCACCACGCAAGCGATGCTGGCTTTAGGAAACGAGTATTAGGTGAGGATGGCAGATCAATAAATGAAGTAGTGAATTTTCATCACCTGATGTGGTTGGGACATGTGTTACGAATGCCCAGAAATCCATGAAGTCATTGACAAGTGAACTGAGTCATGTTGGCAGGTGTAGACTACCTGGTTGGTGTCCGCGAGACCATAGTAACCAAAGGTCAGAGACCTCTAATAACATGGCTCAAAATCGTTTGCGATGGCGCAGGTGCATCCACTCTTTGTGCTCTCTGAAATTCCAATCTTCTGAATTCCCCATGACCGTTTTTTTCTCTTTTTCAATTTACCTCACTGGATTATACTTCTTGAATCATATTTTCAAACCCTAGTCTTCTCCATTACATATAATACTTCTACTACCTCTATTACTAAGGGATTTGAATTGACGATTCCATCTGTGTGCTAATGTGGTACAGCAACATGAACTGATGTACGTACGTACCAGGTTTTATGTTGGAGCTGACTGACTGAAATGAGCCCTCAACAACTGAGTTTCAGCCTTGAGTTTTTCTGACATAACTGAACAGTGTCACTGACTCTTGTACAAAAGTGACGCTTAAAGTTAACTTGACAAATATGTATTTGCCCTATGAGTCGCACTACATTTTACGGGTGCAAAAACATCGAATGAACTTGAATATGAGCTTACGATAGAAAATGAGGATGTTTAAGTTAGACATGTTACCACAACTACTAATTTAAAAAATGTATTTATTATAAGTATCTTAGAAAGAATAGAGAGAAGGCAGGCCGGAAGTGATGAAATGCATGTTCAACTTGAAACAACTAACGGTTGTGAGTTAACTCTCAGACAGACACCGGTGGAACTACTTGAAAATACTTTTATTAGGACTTAGGATATTAGTTCAACCCATTCAATCTTCAGAAACCACTTCTATATTGAATATGGAACGAGTCTGTTAAGAACCAGTAGTTACCTCCAAAATCCCTTCTGGGTTGGCAACTACATGAATTGATACATTAAAAAATGAGTGAGATGTTCATACATACAAAAAACATTGAAGTTGTGGTTCCGAATAAAATCCCGGCTGAAACGCAAAATTTTTTGTTATTTACAAGCTGATAGTTGACCGCTTTGATCTTTGGTGTGCTTTTTTCACGACTAGAATTCTAAAAATATCGTTTTAAACGCAAATATACTTGCTAATGTTCTTCAACTTATATTGCTTGATTATCTGTAATACCCCAAGTTAGAACCTCTGTTTCCTGTTGGTCACTTGCTATTGTCCCATAACTCCATTACTTTTTGTAATTTACACAGATGGATATTAACACTGAATTGGTCTAGGAAAAATTTCAAGAGAAACTGATAATCCAAGTGGTTATAAACCGTTCTCTCACCAATAAAATTTATAATATACTCAAAAGAGAGGTAAGTTTATGAGTAAGAAAGGAGTTGTGAAGTTAAACACCCATAAATTAGGAACAACAGACTTAATTAGTAGATTACAAGTTCACTAATCACACCCACCAGATTGTGAGAAGTAAATGAGTATCATTCATCCTATATGAATGAGAATTAGTTGGTACGGTATACGAACCAGCGACTTTTTACTGATTTCTGATACACAGGTTCTACCATGCCAGCCAGGTTGATCGAAGAACAATGAGACTAAAAACAGCTACTCAAGGTCTGAGGGCGAAGTCGTACTACCGACTGTAGAGGGGTGTGACAGCCGTAAGGTGTTTCCCTCGGACAACCAGCATCTGCAGCGATGCTGCCTTCTCACAAGGAAGAAAGGGTTAGAAAAGGTCGACACTAAAAATGTCACACCTCACCCTATCTCACGGATTTCCGTCTCCGGCGGTAAGGGTGCCCACTAAGGGCTTTCAAGAACGGAGCTAATACTCAAAAAACCCTTCATCAAAAGGCCGTGCGTGACCGGCTTCAAGCAGTGGTCCCTTGGACTCTGCAGTCACGCTCCCAGGTCTCCAAGACCAACACTAATCTGCCTTCCTTTTCAGGTTCCTCAAGAAACAACCTACCACGGTGTGGGCAGCCGGGAAGTGACAACCGCCCTCATACCCACAAAAGCACACGAGACCAAATTGGTCAAATCAAATCCTTCTTACACCCCGTAATATCTCTCTTATCTCTACGACTAACTCTGGTCGCGTTTCTTCAGCTCAATGCACCGCTAATGCAAACGATTCGAGCTCACGGAACGCCATTCCTGGTCTCCTGAAACTCCGTTCTAGACATGTTGGAGCATTTAATGTACGGACATTGAGTCAAATAGGGCAACAGGCATCATTAGCTAGGACTTTAGAATCTCGCTCAATCGATGTATACTGAGTATCGGAAACGCGCATACAGGATCCGAGTAGCATTATTCACTTGACCTCACCATGTCAAGATAAAGAAGCAACTCGATTTACCCTTCATGTATCCGATAGCCGTGATGCTGCTTCCCGTCGCCTCACTGGTGTAGGTACAGCATTGAGTCCTAGGGTAGAATTAGCTCTCCTAGACTGGATCCCAGTAGATAGTCGTTTGTGCGCCGTCCAACTAAACAGGACAGTAAGGATTCGTAAAGATAGGGACACTTGCCGTTGCCTCTTCGTCGTATCTGTCTATGCCCCGACTGACTGCAGTTCAGATGATGTTAAAGATGAGTTTTACAGAAAGCTTTCGAACCTCCTCCAAAAAGTTAGGCGCTCTGATACAGTAATAATGGCTGGTGAATTCAATGCTCAAGCAGGTAGACTGAGTGATCAGGAAAGACACCTAGGTGGATGTTATGGTGTCGCCGCTAACAGAACAGACAATGGCAACCGTCTGCTGCAACAATGCTCAGATAACCACCTATTTCTAGAAAACACTAACTTTAGGCATAAGGAAAAGCATCTCATGACATGGCGACCCCCAAAGTCGTCACAACACTGGACCCAACTAGATCACATCGTAATCAGCCACCAATGGAGAGGTTCGATAGAGGACTGTTGCTCATTCTGGGGCACATGTCTAGATTCAGATCATGCTCTAGTGCGAGCGCGTATTTGTTTGCGACTTACCGGACGTAGGAAAGCCACTGCAAGGAAACCTCTTAGTGTCCTACCTAATGATAACAGAGCTATGAATATATTTCAGCAGCAACTAGAAACACAGTTAGGTGACCATGTAAGTGATTCCCATTCGGAGGTAGCTTGGAATGATATCCAAAAGGCTGTGGAAACAGCAGTGATACCTGCTAGTAAGGTAAACCATAAGGCTAGGAAGAAGCCATGGATCTTAGTAGCATCTACCGAACTGATGGATTTTCGAAAACTTATCCCACCTGGCTCTAAACATGAAGAGCGAAGTCATTTTAAGCGCAGGCTGATAAAAAGCCTACGCAACGACCGCGAACAGTGGTGGGTAGAGAAAGCAAAAGCGATGGAAAAGGCAGCGGCGATAGGTAACAGTAGACAACTACCCAGACTCATAAAGGAAACCGGTGTTAGAAATCCATTTGTTAGCGAAACTATTTCAGGAAAGGACAGACAGACAGATACAACGCAGAACTTCGTACATAAGTACATCAGTTCAGGTTGCCATACCACGTCAGCACAGATACGTAACTGTCAGTTCAAATCCAAGAGTGATAGCGATAGTAGAATTATTAGCAGCGATGGAGAAGATTAGGGAGCGAAGATATTATTCGAAAAGTATAATTTAGTGACATATATTTAGAAGGAGAAATATAGAGATTATGAGGAATTCAGAAGGTTAGAATTAAAAAGCACACAGAGTGGATGCACATGCGCCATAGCAAACGAATCTGAGCCATGTCGTTTAAGGTCTCTAACCATCGATTATTATCATCTAGCGGACCCCAACCAGGTAGTCGACAATTACCGACATGACTCAGTCCACTTGTCAGTGACTTCATGGATTTCTGCCATGCTTTGGTTTGGCTGCCGCTAGCTTTCTTCCAACCTATTCCTACACTACAAGACAAAGCTCGTCGAGGCAGTCGGTGGTTAGGCATATGCAGCACATGTCCCAACCACCTCAACTGATGAATTTTCATTACTTCATCTATTGATCTGCCATTCTTACCTAGCACCCGTTTCCTAATAACAGCGTTGCCCACTCGGGTGCCCCAGGATATACGAGCAAGGCTTCGAAAGACACCTATGATCGAGAACCAGTAACCTACGAATATCCTCTACTCTTAACGGCCATGTTTCACAGCCATATTGTAGGACAGAGCGAACTGTTGCGCAGTACACTCTTCATTTAGTCACCAAACGGGTATCTCGCCTGCGACATAAGTGACACAGGTTGGCAAAAGCCAATCGAGCCTTCTTTATCCGAGCTGAGATTTCGTCAGTCACCAGGCCATCAGCACTGATGAGACTACCGAGATAAGTAAAGCGGTCCATACGCTCAACTACTTCACTCCCTATCAATAGTTCAGGTGCCGATGCAACCCAGTCTTGTAGCAAAATTTTGCGTTTCGAGGGGGAAAACCGCATCCCGATCATGCTTACATTGTTGCTTAGGGTAGTCAGAAGACTCTGCATTTTGTCAGAGTCTTCACCAAGTAGAACTATGTCATCGGCATATTCTAAGTCTATAAGCGAGTCACCTGGTAGAAGGTCTACTCCTGAAAATTCAGATGAGGATAAGGTTATTTCTGGGAGCATGTCTATGATAAAATTAAACAAGAATGGAGAGAGTGGACATCCCTGACGGACACAATTTGAAGTAAGGAATTCCGGTGAAAGTTCGTCATAAGCTCTCACTCGACCAGTAATGTTCGAGTAGAGAGTTTGTATGAGGTTAATGTACTTCTTCGGTACACCTTTCAATGACAGTGGTCCAGTTTTAGCAGCTAGGTTGACTGAGATCTTATGTAGAATCTGGGAAGTACATTAACTTTTTACAAGCTCTCTACTCGAACATTACTGGTCGAGTGAGAGCTTATGGCGAAATGTCATCAGAATGCATTACTTCATGTGGTGTCTGTCAGGGATGTCCACTCTCGATTCTTGTTTAACTTAGTTGTAGATATCCTAGAATATGCCAATGACATAGTTCTACTTGATCGGGATGCGGTTTTCCCCCTCGAAACGCAAAATTTTGCTTCAAGACTGGGTTGCATCGGCACCTGAACTATTGATAGGGAGTGAAGTAGTTGAGCGTATGGACCGCTTTACTTATCTCGGTAGTCTCATCAGTGCTGATGGCCTGGTGACTGACGAAATCTCAGCTCGGATAAAGAAGGCTCGATTGGCTTTTGCCAACCTGTGTCACTTATGTCGCAGGCGAGATACCCGTTTGGTGACTAAATGAAGAGTGTACTGCGCAACAGTTCGCTCTGTCCTACAATATGGCTGTGAAACATGGCCGTTAAGAGTAGAGGATATTCGTTGGTTACTGATTCTCAATCTTAGGTGTCTCCAAAGCATTGCTTCTACATTCTTGGACTATCGAGTGTTAGGTAAAGATGGCAGGTCAATAGATGAAGTAGTGAAACTCGCATCAGTTGAGGTTGCTGGGACATGTGCTGCATATGCCTAACCACCGACTGCCTCGACGAGCTGTTTTGTGGTATAGGAGTAGGTTGGAAGAAAGCTAGCGGTGGCCAAACCAAAACATGGCAGAAATCCATGAAGTCACTGACAAGTGGACTGAGTCATGTCGGTAGATGTAGGATACCTGGTTGGCGTCCACGAGACGTAAGTCACCGATGGTTAGAGACCTTGAATGGCATGGCTCAAAATCGTTTGTAATGGCGCACGTTAATTCATTCTTTGTGTTCTATGAAATTCTAATGTTCTGGATTCGTCAACGTCTCTACTTTTGTCTTTCTAAACCTAGCTTACTGAATTATACTTCTTGAATAATATCTTGGAACCCTAATCCTCTCGATTATTAGTATTACTCCTACTATTTTTGCCATTATGGGATTTGAAGTGACAGTTGCGTCCCTGCGGTAATGTGGTATGGCAACGTGAACTGATGTACTTGCGTACGACGTTCTATGTTTCATCTGACTGAGTAAGTGACACAGGATTTAAAAAAGTAAAGGTAACTCTTTGTTCCAAGAAACAAAATAATGCATCAAGTTCCACTGGATTAATAGGATTGTTGGAGGCAAAACCTAAACTCTCTTACATAGATCCTTTTAATCACTGTATATCTACATGGATCCAACATTTGTAATTCTTGTGTGGCATTAACAGACTGTGTATGGAATCCAGCCATGATGTCGATGGTACACATAATATTTCCCGACGAGATACTTTTAACATAATTTGTGATAACCTTTTTACTCCGGTGCCGAAACTTAATGGTCTAGGAAATCAATGTCCACTACACACAAATTAACAGATCAAGGGTTACGAACCACATCTGTCATCCGAAACTTGATAATACCAACTGGATACATGGCCTCTAGTACACATTGCAAGGTTAGTGCTTGTAATATAGTGGCAAAGTCATTCGTTTAAAGAAATGTGGCTTTACCATCGACAATGCTACATTATATATTATATTAAGCTTCTTTTTGCCGTTATATCTCTTCCACCAATGTATGCAGTTACATACTGATATAGAACCAAGGTTTATATTTTTATGAACATGAACGAGAACATGAACACTACATGTAGCCGCGCTGTTAACACTAAACAGTCTGAGTGTAATAAATAGATTATAATACTAGTACTTTACGTAATTCTTGATTATCTAAGGGATAACAAGGAATGTAAATTCATAATCTCTCGCAGAGGGGTAGTAAATATGCATAGCGATTTGACGAATTTAATACACCCTTCAACGGAACAACATATATTTAAACATTTCCCACGAACACTGTACTACGTATAACAGACTGGGCATTTCATTTGCTCGGCTTTCAATTATAAATGTTTTCAGATAACAAGAGCTCTAAGGACGGACTAACATCTACTGCCCACTTTGAGATGTTCAACGCTGTACTTTGAAGATTATAGGTAAACATATATCTCTGAAAATAGATTCTTGAGTAGAATTAGGAATTGAAAACTTTTGATTTGATCTGTTTTTGACTTGTTAACTATAGTGACAATATGGAATAGTCAAGGTACGTGAGAAATATGGAGCTCCCATGAAGCTGAACTGGAATGGTGCTGTTAAGTTTCTATCTAGCATGATAATAGAAGTTTAAAACTACATGGTGCCAAATACCTGATTTAGCACAAGTCTGCAAACAGTGGATATACTAGAAACCTAGCACCGGAGACTTAATGAGAATTTACAGAAGATAACAAAGTAAGGTTACAAAGGACTGTCCAGACTTCATGATTTTGGCTTTGACAAGTTTGCTCTTAGCATAAAGGTATTTTGTGTGCTGTAGGAGTTTCGAGCGAAGGGAGCGAGAAAAAGAGCAATAGCGATACTAAAATCCAGAAAGCTCAGAGGATGTAGTTATATTTACTAGTCAGAGCAATCGATAACAATTAGGAATAATAAAGACATGAAATTTAGACAAGTAACGACCAAATTAACGGAAACATGACAGTTATTGCTTGACGACGTGGAGTTTACCTCCACCTAACCTGATAAGAGACGCTAAACCAAATTGACGTCAAAGGTCACACCAAACACAAACAAATAGGCTACTGTTTTAAGGATTGGAGGCTAACAGGCTTAGGTTAGTCTCTACAGTTTATAGTGATGTAAAGACCCTACATTGCTTCAAATTTATCAACATAAGGTGTTAATATTACTTGTTCTGGAAGAGAATTTCAGTAATTCTCCACTAGACGAGAGAAACGCGACTACCGACAACCGATTTCATCCAGGTTTTTTTTAATTTCCTGGAATATCATCTCAGATTATCAATCATAGATGGAAATAAAAGACAGAAAATATGACTATGGAAATCACCTTTCAGTATATAGTAAACCAGTATTATATCGACTCATAACACACGGTATGATGAAGGAAATATGTTAAAGCATCTACATCAGATCAGTTACGTCTTCTCACTGTTTTATCAAAATCTAGTTCTGTCTTCGTAAGACGAATAGGTTGGATATTCTAACACAATGGCCTCTGGCTGCTGAACTTATTTTAGCACATCAACAACATACACGAAACAAGGACACTGTTGAAATCCTACAATCCGAATGCGGACTCAAAAACATCGGGTATAGAATCCTAAGCATTTCTTCATGCAAGTAATGAAATGACTCTCGAATGACTCATAAAGCCTGAATCCTTTGTTAGACTCTCTGAAACCCTAACTCCGAAGGTCCTTGCCTATTACGATCTTTGCAATCTATTATTTAAGGCAACACAGCTTCATATATTGTAAAGCAACGGGAATCACCGCTTCACCATATCCTTGCGAAGATAAACTTCTAATGACCACCTATTAATCGTTTCGACCACTGAGTTTATGTCGCCCTATATTATTATTCTAGCTGATCTTAAAATTTTGATATCATCAACAATCGCTAGGAACAGTTGGCAAGCCAATTACGTTAAGTTTTTAGAAGAAGGGAAAATAATGTATCCCACAGAACGTAATGCATCAAGGATCCCATACTGACAAGGCCTACATTATCCAAACCCACTGTCTCCTACCTCCAGCAAGAACAGCTATCGAGTTTCTGATTTCGTTTTTGATTCAAAATATTTACAGTTTAAATTCAGGACCAATGTGCTGATTAAAAAACACATAAATATTTCCCTCTCAGAGTTACATTCATAGTTTTCACAGTTATTACTCATCAGCACCACTGTTTTAACTTAACTGAATTAAAATCAGTTGAAGTAACACCAAGAGTGGTTTTTTCTCAAAATTTCACATGTATTTTATCGAGCATATTGATTTCGTATTCTGCTTTCAAGACGTTTGCACTTAACTGTTCACGATTCACTCCTTTCTGGTTACCAATTTTTGTTATTACGTGTCTATGTGTTTGGGCCATTTGGAAACCTCTTTTTGATGACTAGACAGTGTTGAAAAAGCATGTAGCGAACCACGGGCTGTCGAAACCCTGTGCAAGGCATTCGAATTCCATCTTTTCGAGCTGTTTGCTCCTAAGAGAATAATACTGACATAACTTCAAATAAAACGGCATTCGGAACTATCACAAAAATGAACGTAGGCCACATCAGAGCGAGATGTAAAGACAGACCCTTGTAATCTAGGTGTGGTAGTCGTTACAGCGATTTGGCTGCTCCAGTCTATCTTCAATAAAGAACTTGGTTCTGAAAATTTGCAATAGAAGGTGTAAGAGGTGATTGGCTGTATTCACCAGAGATAATATCATATTGACCATCATCGACAACATATCCCATGAAAGTGGAACATGTGAATAAGAGAGTGCCCCGAAAAACACGAGATATGAGGGCTACCGAATGATTTGCTTCACGGCTGTAGAAACTTCGAGATGAATGATACCTTGCCACACGGACTTAATAATTTGTCTAACCAGAGGAAGACCTTACTGTGCAGCTATTTGCTACATCCTACTGTGCGAATGTGAAACAAGGTCAGTAAAAGCGGAAGAAATTCGTAGGTTACAGTATTTTAAAGGTAACTGAGGAGTTAAAGATGGATTTTTCAATAATGTTGATCATTTGTTCTTGTATGTCGATATGTTACTTGAGGCATTCCAAGTTACCAGCAATATCGAAAGCTTTTCCAGTTAGATTAACATTTCAAAAGATAAACTGGTTTTTATAGAGGGCTAATTTTTTTTGATCTACAGAATATAATATAATAATATAATACTTCGCGTTTTATTGGTGATAAGAGTTAAGAAGGGAGTAGCCGAATAAGTTACTGGAATTTCCATAAGAGGTTGTTGGCTCGGGTGGAAGGGTGAGGACTTCACCTGTTTGAGTCTGTGTGGGGGAAGTGAATTTATATTCTACATGTGGTGTGAGATGGCTTGAGAAATAATTCCCGCTAGACGTACCACAAGTGTCTGTATCCGAAAAAAACTTTGAATAGGCTGACTGTTCAGTATAATCCTGGTGATACAGTTCTTAGATACGCTTGTATTTAGTTAGCCTTGTTCATGTGCCAGTTGTTGTAACCTTTCCTAAATGTGGGAGTTATTTCTACCAGCTGGCTTTGTAAGTTGCAATGTAAGTAGTTTTCATTCTGAGGGTTGTTGCAGTTAATTACTAAAGGTACCGTAATTATCGAAATTCGATACATGTGGAAGCTGCATAATAGATGTGCGATCTGGTTCCACTCAGCTTTCCATTTTTACCAGACTTTACTGACCAACTTTTGAAAGTACTAGGTTTCCGTACTTTACATTCTACTAGTTCGTTGCATCTATCCTAGTTCGTTTGGAACCCTGTACTTTACGTATGCGACTGTACCATACCGTTTCTATGTAACACCAACTGTGTATCAACTTCATCATCACATATGCATGTGCTAAAGCCCTGATGAGTTTGCCAGAGGGTTTTGGGGACCTTTGGTGGCTGTAGCATGACAGTGTGCATAAGCTTTCAAGTCTTAGCTAGTGATGATCACGAGGTCAGTATGCGTCTGGATAACCGGTAGCTCGATATTATTTACCGTGAATGTACTTGTGCTTTGGTGACCAATATGCATCATGATGCAGTTTGGAGCATTTATCGGCAACTTTCAAACTCTAGACCATTCGGATGATTTATGTAGGTAATTTGAAGACCGAACCGATCACATTGGTTTTGTAACGCTTTCCATATCTTTATATTATCTGCACATGAAGAAAACAATGAAAATAGGAGAATAGAAAAAGTATTTACACTTAAAAAGGACGAAAGTTGGTCCAAAACTACTCTGGGGCATCCCGCTGAGAATAGTTTCTCAGATGGACAACTTGGAGTTAACCCATGCTGCTTGTTGGCGTCCGAATAAGAAATCCTTGATCAGCATAAGTAAGCATTAAGGGTATTACGCAGAGTCCTTAACTGGCCTTTCTTTACACAATGTTCTAGAGAGTTGACGCACAAAAATCTCTGGCTTGGGCTGAGACATCCGTATTGACAACGAAATGGAGACCAAGGACCAAAACTGACTGTTTACTCTTACCTAGAGGTGGTAGATAATCGTTGTTTGTGGCTTTGTTCTCATAATGAGTCGCTATGAATTATAGTAAGGATTATGTAAACTCCGCCTGTAGAATCTCCGGGGATACTGCTGGTCCCAAGCAAGGATAAAGGAGGAGGGTTGGACATGGGGTTGGCGACCCCATCGCACCAAAAATCTTACTTGCCATAAAAACAATAACCAGAAAAAATAATGTTGGAAGAAGAATTATGACGTCCCGCGATGAAAGCCGAGTTCGCTCGAGAGTCACGGGGCCGATGCCTCTTCTGACAACCAGAGCAACCATTTTTCAGGTACATGAAATGTTCGGACACTGTAGGAGACTGGAAGACTATTTCAAGTTGCTGCAGAAATGAAAAGATACAACCTCGAGGTGCTTCGAATCAGCGAAACTCATTACACTTAGGTAGGACGACTGAGACTAGCTTCAGGGGAACTGCTGTGGACAGGAAAATGATTCACATACACAGGGAGTTACACTGATGCTGTCCAAGCAGTCACGAAAGGCACTGATAGGGTGGGAATCTCATGGACCCAGGATCATTAAAGCATCCTTCGAAACAAAGAGAGAGGACATTACAATGAGCGTCATCCAATGTTATGCACCTACGAACGACTACAATGACGACGTTAAAGATCAATTCTACGAAAGGCTGCAGTCAATCATCGACAGATGCTCACCAAAGGATTTGACCGTTCTGATAGGAGACCTGAATGACAAGGTTGGCATCGACAACACTGGATATGAAGACATCGTGGAATGACATGGACTGGGAGAAAGGAACAAAAATGGTGAGAGATTTGCAAACCTATGTGCCTTCAACAAACTGGTCATCGGTGGCACAATATTGCCGCACAAACGCATTCACAAAACTACATGGATTTCACCGGATCACACTCTCAGAGTCAAATCGATCATATATGTTTCAATAAAAAGTTCAGAAGGACTATGGAGGATGTGAAAAACAAGAGATGAACTGACATAGCCTCAGATCATCATTTACTGGTCGCCAAAATGGAACTGAAACTCAAGAAACACTGGAAAACGAGGCAGACAACATCACACAAGTTTAATACTGACTTTCTTCGGGATACCGTAAAACTCAACGAATTCAAGATAACCCTCACCAATAGGTTCCAGGCTTTTCAGGATCTACTCAATGTAGAGGAAGCAACGTTGGAGAACAATTGGAAAGGGATCAAGGAGGCAACCACTTCAAAATGTCAGGAGGTCCTAGGTCACAAGAAGCACTACCACAAGGAATGGATCTCTGTTGGTACTCTTACGAAAATTGAAGAAAGGAGGAATAAGAAGGCAGCAATCAATGTCAGCCGAAAAAGAGCAGAGAAAGTTGTAGTGAACGAGAACACAGGTGGGGCAACCGAATTGTATTTAGCGAAAATTACAGAGCTACTCAGTAAAATTGGAAAACCATGTCGTAAATCGTTAATTTGCAAAATATCAGTCCACCATATCTAACTGGACTATTCCAGTTGCAAAACATCAATCCATTGTCACTATTCATGCGTTTCATACAAATTCCATTGTGTTCTAACTCTTCGTTTCTTGATCCTCCCCCATCCTCTGCTGCTAGACATTACGTTGATACTCACGTCATATACTACTTATAAGTAGCTCGCACCACAAAGTTACCGCACAATCTGAATACACGGAAGCAAATAGGAAAGTGAAGAAGAGCATCAGAGCTGAAAAACGAAAATATGTGGAGGGTCTATCAATGAGGGCGGGAAAGGCTGCAAGAGAAGGAAACATTAGATACAACATACGGTACAACGAAGAAGCTGAAAATTATTGTAAACCAGACCGACCAGTGAAAAGCAAGGAAGGCAAAGTAATCGCCTCACTTAAGTACGGCTAAACAGGTGGGTAGAGCACTTTCAGGAACTCCTGAATCGACCAGCTACACCGAACCCACCCAACATCGAAGCAGCATCCAAGGACCTCCCAATTAATAATGGCGCACCTACAATTGAGGAGATCAGCATGGCCATCAGACAAATCAACAGCAGAAAAGCAGCAGGACCAGACAACATTCCAGCAGAGGCAATGAAAGCAGACGTGGAAACAACTGCGAAAATATTTTACATCCTCTTCAAGAAGATTTGGGATGAGGAACAAATACCATCAGACTGGAAAGAAGGATACCTCATCAAAGTACCAAAGGAAGGAGATCTCACCAAGTGTGAGAACTACAGAGGCATCACTCTTCTTTCAATACCAGGCAAAGTCTTCAACAGGGTATTGTTAAACAGAATGAAGGACTTCGTAGACGCCCAACTTCGAGATCAACAGGCTGGATTTCGTAAGGACCGATCGTGTACTGACCAAATTGAAACATTACGCATAATTGTGGAACAATCAATTGAATGGAACTCACCACTCTACATCAACTTCATCGACTACGAGAAAGCATTTGATAGTGTGGATAGGAAAACACTGTGGAGGCTTCTTCGACACTACGGTGTGCCTGAGAGCATAGTCAACATCATACGGAATTCTTATGATGGATTCAACTGCAAAATCGTACACGAAGGCCAGTTAACAGACTTGTTCGAAGTGGAGACAGGTGTCAGGCAAGGTTGCTTACTCTCATCCTTTATCCTTCTCCTGGTGATCGACTGGATTATGAAGACGTCAACATCTGTAGGGAAGTACGGTATTCAGTTGACAGCTAGGATGCAGATGGACGATCTGGACTTCGCAGAAGACCTGACTGTCCTGTCGCACACGCAAGAGAAGACGACCAGTGTAGCAGCAACCTCGGCAACAACATACATCCACATACACAAAGGGAAAAGCAAGACTCTCCGATACGACACAACATGTGCCAACCAAATCACTCTTGATGGAGATGCCCCGGAGGACGTTAACACCTTTCCACATCTGGGCGGCATCATTGCAGAATTTATTTCGCCGGCGGCTGTCCTAATCGCGTCCAATAGAAACACACCGGTACGATACTCCTAGATCCAGGTCCCAGCCAAATCAGAAGGCCAAAAATTCTAGGAGAAAACCGTGATGTTTTTGTTTCTTCCAGGACTAAATTACTCCGTAGAGTATCTATTACAATAGCTAGTAAGTGACACTAAGTCCAGCAGCCACCGCGTCTATCCAAAAATGTGGCGGTAGCCATATTATATCAAATTTAAACAATATATGTACAGTTCAAAAGCAAACACAAAAACTTCAATATAAGTACAAAATATGGAAAGAATAACAACATACAATGGTAAAATCTCAAATTGGAATCAAATAAAATACCAAAAATGTCAAGAGAAAAGGTCCATCATGTCATAGCAAAAATATGTAAACATGGAGGGATTTTCCAAAACACAAAGCATTCAAAAAGAATTCTACACCGGCCCGCAAAATCCCTCCATGCAAAAACAGCAAGCGTTAATGCCACCTTATTTAGGGTTCCCATGTTATCCCCTAATCCACACCGGAATAACGTGTAGGACTTACAGCAGTACGCCTACCCGCCATCCAACATGGATATGACCTATCGCGCTAACTAGATACCTATACTTTCCCATCAGGCCCTTGATTCCCCTATCTATCGTGGAATGACCTAACGGTAGTATAAACCTTACCCAATTAACCCATACGAACATGAACAACACATCGTAAAACTGGTCATATCCTATCCAAGGACTACATTCTCTATCATAGGGACGAGTCGCCAATCCACCACCACTTGCTCCGATCAACAGATACCATGAAGTCCGTGATGCTAACTTATCAACAGAAGTTTTTGACCCATAAATAATATGCAAGGGTGGGATTTCCAATTTTGACATTTCATCGTCTCCAGAAGACCTTAAGTAGCATGACGTAGGATCAATATTTATCCTTCCATCTCCTGATGCAGAGGAGGTTTGAACAGTATTCATCATCGTCGGTAACTCATTTGTCACATCAGTGACATCCAGTTTGTTGTCAACGTCTAAATGATTCCGTTCTACATTAGCATCCGTTTCCGCGGCACAAGACATATGCTCAACAATAGCATCGTCATCACACAGCACTGTAGACTGGCTGTTACCATCAAACACTTTCTTCTCATCATCACTCGACTGACAGTCAACCGTAATAGGAACAGTTACAGTTGCACAACCTTGTGCATCTTCAATCAACTTAACCTTCGTGACGAGGTCCGATGGCGTCGAAACACTAGGAGGCTCATTCGATGAAGTTGATAAACTAGTCCCTATAAGTGGACTTCTGACACCTTCTATCTCCTTATTATCACTGTCACTACCAAGGTTCTGATGGCTACTATTTCCATAGCTAGTCGTAGCATCCGAAAGAGCATGAGGTTCAGGCTTCTTAGTAATAGTAGCATCATGTCTCCTAGGCTTCTTAGCCGTTACTGTACCACCATCACTTATCCTAGAATCTACTCTAGGTCCAGTTATATAATTTACCCTAACTGAAGGGTTCCGAAAATAAGCTTTATTCCGTTCAGTCAATCCTGCCTGGGCTTTATTCATATTTGCTGAACTCACTAACCTCTGATTACTCGAATCCAAATTACCGTTCCAGGCTTTTCGAGCAGCTAAGAGGCTTTTATCGTCACACACTTCGGATCCATCTTGATGCCTACACTTTTCGCCTTTTTCTTTCTTTTCTACACATAGAAAAGCCATCTTATCTGTTACACAAACCGGCTTCTTGCTAGGACACGCATCAAGAGAATTTACATCGTTACGGTCACGTACTCGTCCTTCATCAGGGTATGCTTTCGTGATATAATTGACAAATCGCTTATCTCCCGAGCGTGCTTTAGGTAGAAACGAAAAATCCGAATGTCTCGCACGCAGACCACTAGTAGCTTCCATATTATTTCCTGTTTTAGCCTGATAAGCTAATCTTCCAAACCTACTACTAGCTATCTTAGCACGAGACATAATAAATTCCGTCAATTCGTTGAAATTGGGCTCTCTCTCCTCTTCGTCCCACTTGAATACTAGCTCTGCCCACTGGGTTTGCATTCGACGAGGTAAGAGCCTTACTATTCGTTCTAAAGTAGTCATAGAGTTAAGTTCAGCTGTACAATTTAACTGTTCTAAAGTTAAGGAAGCATTCTGCATTTTAATGGCCAAGTTCGTCAATGATTCAGGATCATTAAATTCGACATTCCCAGTTCTAAATAAGTCCTCTAAGGTTTCTCGCGCTATCACATGTGACTGCCCAAAAAGCTGTTTTAAAATAACCTTAGCTCTCTTATATCCCGCCTGTGGGTCCATTATAAGACAGCCTTCGATCGCATTTTTAGCTTTTCCCTTACAATAATGAATTAAATACAATAAACGCACTTGATCATCCTTGATTCGAGGTTCTATAAACGTCTCTATCTGTCGTATGAACTTAAAATAGTCGCGAGACCTTCCATCAAAATATGAAAGCTCAACCTTAGGTAATTCTAAACCCTCTATCGATGACTTACAATAATAAATATCAGACATAACATGTGGGTTACCCATAAAAAGGTTATCGTTAACGACTTGCCTAGAGCCCTGTGATCCGTCGAGCTCTTCCACCGTTCTCCTGTTTGCCTTCTTCCTGCTTGACATTATAAATGGGATTCAATACGAAAGGTAACGGATACAAAATAGAATAAATCCAAAATTCAGTTCAAAATTAATGATAAGTAGTTCCAGCGTCTTCCTCCAAGGAAGTCTAGTATGATAAACGATTAAATTCCAAATGTTTCCTTGTAATTCTTAATAATCCAAATAGATCCAAATTATATGCGTCCCGACGGATATTTCCAAGTATAATTCACGCAAGAAGAGCAAACATCAGACTGTAGAATTTATTTCGCCGGCGGCTGTCCTAATCGCGTCCAATAGAAACACACCGGTACGATACTCCTAGATCCAGGTCCCAGCCAAATCAGAAGGCCAAAAATTCTAGGAGAAAACCGTGATGTTTTTGTTTCTTCCAGGACTAAATTACTCCGTAGAGTATCTATTACAATAGCTAGTAAGTGACACTAAGTCCAGCAGCCACCGCGTCTATCCAAAAATGTGGCGGTAGCCATATTATATCAAATTTAAACAATATATGTACAGTTCAAAAGCAAACACAAAAACTTCAATATAAGTACAAAATATGGAAAGAATAACAACATACAATGGTAAAATCTCAAATTGGAATCAAATAAAATACCAAAAATGTCAAGAGAAAAGGTCCATCATGTCATAGCAAAAATATGTAAACATGGAGGGATTTTCCAAAACACAAAGCATTCAAAAAGAATTCTACAATCATCGACAACCAAGGTGGATCCGATGCAGATGTGATGACTTGGATCGGGAAAGCAAGGGATGCATTTCTACAAGTGAACCACATCTGGAACTCAAAACAACTATCAACCAACACCCGAGTCAGGGTTTTCAATACAAATGTCAAGACAGTCGTACTGTATGGAGCGGAAACTTGGAGAACTACCAAAGTCATCACCTAGAAGATACAAGTATTTATGAACAGCTGTCTTGGAAAAATACTAGGGATTCGTTGGCCAGACATGATCACCAACAACTTACTGTGGGAGAGAACAAACCAGATTCCAATGGAGGAGGAAATAAGGGAGAAGCGGTGGGAGTGAATAGGACACACAATGCATGAAGCAACCAACTGAGTCACGAGACAAGCCTTCTTTTGGAACCTTCAAGATGAAAGGAAAAGAGGAAGGCCAAGAAACTCATTACACAGAAAAATAGAGAAAGATATGAGAGGAATGAACAAAAACTGGAAAGAACTGGAAAGGGAAGCCCAGGACAGAGTAGGTAGGAGAAAACCGATGCTTTGTTGGGGGGTAACAGGCGAAATTAAGTAAGTAAGGATTATGTGGAGTCACAATATAACCTAGTTGCATCTTTAAAGTGTTGCACGTCGGTACGTAAAATAACCGCATCAGATAGTTTTTCATGGAATGATTTTCCTGTCAAAGCTGTGCGTAGACATTAAAATTGGACATCAACCACTTGAAGGCTAAAAAGTAGATCCGTCTGATAAGACCTCATTGACCTCACAGTTTGTACCGCTAGCCGTCACGCTTCATGATTTCAGGGGCGCTCACCTATTCTTATGTTCCGATTTCGTAGAATATGTTGTCGATAACGGCAAAGGAGATAGTATTTCTGGTGAACTAAGCTACTCACCTTTTACGCTTCCAGACTCAATCATCTCAAGTTCCCTACTGACTACAGACTGGATCAACAAAGTAGCTGTAACAGTGATTGCATTCAGAGTGACTTCATATCGATTTTTTATAGAGTAAGCGAGCATCCTTAGACCCATCAATATTACACTTGCTAATATTACCTTTTAGGCAGTCTAAACAATAAAAAGAAAATTGGATCAGCTGATCGCTAGTTTCATTACAGACTAAACAGATTAGAATCTTTTCGAAAGTGAACCTGAGTCAAATTATTGTCATGTACCACTACAAAGCTTTTGATTGGCGAACCTAATGCGAGGGAATTTTGAACTTCTCCATGTTTGTAAGCAATGTATAGTTTCACATCTGGGCCTCCTGTACAATCTATTCCTGCGTTTTTAACCAAACTTAAGTTACTAGTGGATGACGAAGAAACAAACGACCTCATATATTGGGACCCGGTAAGATTCAGTTTGGTTAATAACTTCGTTTAGCACGGAACCAGTTTTCACATACGTGATGGAAACCGCTTAGCCAAGGAATTACTACCGCTTTATTTCAAGCACAACAACTTATCTAGTTTTATAAGACAGCTAAATATGTGTAAGTGACTATTTTCTCTGAGTTTTCCTGTAGATGGATTCAGAAAAATCAATCGCGTTGATCCGTCTATCCCTTTAAAACCCGACACCGAAGACATGGAATTCAGTCATCCTTACTTCATTCGCAATAAGGATAGTTTGTTATCTAAAATTCATAGACGAACTTCAAACATGTGTTCGCCAATACTAGGGTCAAGGAATCAGAATTTTGGTGTAAAAGTACCATTTGTTCCTGCTAATTCGGGTCTAAACGGTTCCATTAGTGCATCTTCACCACAAAGACCAATAACTGCCACAGACTTCCTAAGACTGGCAGAAACGGTAAGGCACTTGCGTTGCAACCAGGAAACTTTAAGTCATCAAATTAATGTGTTAAAGTCGGAGAATCAGCTTTTGTATCGTGAACTTTCTGACTTGAGAGAACATCATGATAAACAATCTCAACTGGTTCAGACAGTAAGATATCCAATTTTTAACCAGAGTATTTCAGCTCATATCGTTCCTTTCAGCGTTTGCACAGGAAGGGAGGTCTGCAAGCGTGTTCATCGAACAGACCCAACTCAAAGCACTTCCTTCTATTACTCCATCCGGTTCAAGATTTCAAAACAAAGGGTTAAAGCTGGGTCTTCGAAAAGGTGTGTTTCTCTTGTTGATGCATGAGTAGTCAAGTCTTATGCTATAGCCATTCACCCTCCCAATACCTATACATTTCAACTCATTCTTAATGGTCCACTTTGTTCATAAATTTAGTATTTTGCTTGCTTATCATTTAAGGTTGAATGTGCACAATAGGCTTACCGATTTGTTATAACCAGTTAGCCATCTAACTAAGCTATTGACGTTCTCGCTGCTGTTCTGTGAAATTTATAATATTTTGGAAACTAATTGGGAAATCAGAACGTTGTTAAGTTTATTGTTGATGTACTTCAAGGTGATTATTTTCTATAGAATGGTTTTATTTGTTTTCTTGGCCTACATATAATACAGATTTCGTGATATCTATATTCACTGTGATATACACTTCGTGTTATCTTTCACTTACAACCAAATTTGGGACAGGTGTTTGGCACGTATATGACTTAGCTTTTGACCTCTGTCAGAAAGACGCTTACAAATTCTTCAGTAACTCACAAAGTGGTGCATATCCTAAGCATCCAGTTTATTACGAACAATAAAGTAAACGGGTTTATAGCAGTTCTGCCTATTGTACATTTTAACAAAAGATCATGTATATATGAATTTGGTAGTAGCATCGTAACTGCGTTAACTTGATAAGGTAAGTAACTTCTTACGCTTTTTGCAGAAAACTCAGACACTACTCCGTATTAGAACTATTTCGGTCTTAGGTTTATTTAGCATAATTCTCTTACCGTTCATTGTGTTGTCAAGTCTAAACCAATTACTCAAAACGTCTTAAGTTATGACCTCTACCTTCGTTTTTCTAACCTTATCTCACTGAATTATACTTCTTGAATAATATCTTCAAACCCCAGTATTCTTCATTACCATTAATTCCTCTACTATCTTTATCACTATGGTATTTGATTTGACATTTACGTCTCTGTGATGATGTGGTATGGAAACATGAACTGATGTACTTACGTACGAAGTTCTATGTTGCAACTGACTGACTCTTAAGTTATGACTTCCAGATTCGCGTCATTTATTATGGTTCCGGAAGTCAGGTATATCTATCCTTCAGTCCAGCTTAGTACATGATTTATTTTATTCCTAAACATTTAATTATTCCTACAGAGGTACGTAAATATTTCTACGCCACATTGTTGGATATGTTAGTGTGCTAGGATACACCCGTCTACCTAGACCAAAGCAGTACACAAACCCACACCTGGTTACTATGTGTAGTTTAGTTACCGTTGACTGAAATTTTTAGGAAATAATCTTAGTTTGGTAACGGTCATCTACACTGGCACATCTGTGTGGTGCACACCACTTAAGTAATGCAGCACTCAGGTTTTACTTAATTCACTCACTGAGTTCATTTTTGTGCACAAAACTTTCATTTTGTAATTCTACTTGACCTCCCAAACCTAAGTAGGTAATGCAGTTGCTGAAATATGCTACGGATAAACTGAAAACGAGTACTTATAATATTAATCCACCGCTCCACGTACGATAATCTACGTAGGTTGTTATGCTGAAAATAAAATATTCCTAAGATAGCGTTATTCAAGTTATAAAAATCATTTTCTCTGCATTTTATTAAAATCTACTATAAAACTCAGTTTAACTTAAAAACGGGAAGATTTTTTAGCATATTGTTGTAGGCAAATGCAAGTCTTTCAACACTGCTATCATTGTTGACCTGATTAGTGTTAAGACAGTTCTAGGTCGGCAGTTTATTTCCATCGTCTAGGTAGTAGTCGCTTGTTCCATCTCCAACTAAGTATTTATGTTCGACATATGTACACTGTTGACTACCTAGTTCAGGATATGAAATAAAAATCAGCATTCAGTGGAAAGGTGTACTTGTGCCAGATGGAGGATAGCACGATTTAAGGATGATGTAATGCAAAATGAACTAGATTCTGATTGTCCACCTACTGTCGTCAGGAATGATAAGTTTTCGGGAATCAAGCTAACTTATGTATTATCTGAAGTTTAAACGACAAAAGTTCGTTCATTTTGGTCCCCGTCGACGAATATACACATTTATAGGGATGAACAAACATTTTTAGCAAAAAACATGAGGAGTTTCAGTCAGCGGTCAGTCAGATGCAACGTAGAACTTCGTACGTAAGTACATCAGTTCATGTTTCCATACCACATCATCACAGAGACGTAAATGTCAAATCAAATACCATAGTGATAAAGATAGTAGGGGTATTAATGGTAATGAAGAATACTAGGGTTTGAAGATATTATTCAAGAAGTATAATTCAGTGAGATAAGGTTTGAAAGACAGAGACAGAGGTGCTGACGAATCGAGAAGAATAGGATTTGAGTGAGCTCAAAGAATGGATGCACTTGCGCCATTGCAAACGATTTTGAGCCATGTCGTTCAAGGTCTCTAACCATTGATGGCCTTCGTCTCGCGGTCCCCAACCAGGTAGTCTACATTTACCAACATGAAGCTCGTCGAGGCAGTCGGTGGTTAGGCATATGCAGCACATGTCCCAACCACCTCAACTGATGAATTTTCATTACTTCATCTATTGATCTGCCATTCTTACCTAGCACCCGTTTCCTAATAACAGCGTTGCCCACTCGGGTGCCCCAGGATATACGAGCAAGGCTTCGAAAGACACCTATGATCGAGAACCAGTAACCTACGAATATCCTCTACTCTTAACGGCCATGTTTCACAGCCATATTGTAGGACAGAGCGAACTGTTGCGCAGTACACTCTTCATTTAGTCACCAAACGGGTATCTCGCCTGCGACATAAGTGACACAGGTTGGCAAAAGCCAATCGAGCCTTCTTTATCCGAGCTGAGATTTCGTCAGTCACCAGGCCATCAGCACTGATGAGACAACCGAGATAAGTAAAGCGGTCCATACGCTCAACTACTTCACTCCCTATCAATAGTTCAGGTGCCGATGCAACCCAGTCTTGAAGCAAAATTTTGCGTTTCGAGGGGGAAAACCGCATCCCGATCATGCTTGCATTGTTGCTTAGGGTAGTCAGAAGACTCTGCATTTTGTCAGAGTCTTCACCAAGTAGAACTATGTCATCGGCATATTCTAAGTCTATAAGCGAGTCACCTGGTAGAAGGTCTACTCCTGAAAATTCAGATGAGGATAAGGTTATTTCTGGGAGCATGTCTATGATAAAATTAAACAAGAATGGAGAGAGTGGACATCCCTGACGGACACAATTTGAAGTAAGGAATTCCGGTGAAAGTTCGTCATAAGCTCTCACTCGACCAGTAATGTTCGAGTAGAGAGTTTGTATGAGGTTAATGTACTTCTTCGGTACACCTTTCAATGACAGTGGTCCAGTTTTAGCAGCTAGGTTGACTGAGATCTTATGTAGAATCTGGGAAGTACATTAACTTTTTACAAGCTCTCTACTCGAACATTACTGGTCGAGTGAGAGCTTATGGCGAAATGTCATCAGAATGCATTACTTCATGTGGTGTCTGTCAGGGATGTCCACTCTCGATTCTTGTTTAACTTAGTTGTAGATATCCTAGAATATGCCAATGACATAGTTCTACTTGATCGGGATGCGGTTTTCCCCCTCGAAACGCAAAATTTTGCTTCAAGACTGGGTTGCATCGGCACCTGAACTATTGATAGGGAGTGAAGTAGTTGAGCGTATGGACCGCTTTACTTATCTCGGTTGTCTCATCAGTGCTGATGGCCTGGTGACTGACGAAATCTCAGCTCGGATAAAGAAGGCTCGATTGGCTTTTGCCAACCTGTGTCACTTATGTCGCAGGCGAGATACCCGTTTGGTGACTAAATGAAGAGTGTACTGCGCAACAGTTCGCTCTGTCCTACAATATGGCTGTGAAACATGGCCGTTAAGAGTAGAGGATATTCGTAGGTTACTGGTTCTCGATCATAGGTGTCTTTCGAAGCCTTGCTCGTATATCCTGGGGCACCCGAGTGGGCAACGCTGTTATTAGGAAACGGGTGCTAGGTAAGAATGGCAGATCAATAGATGAAGTAATGAAAATTCATCAGTTGAGGTGGTTGGGACATGTGCTGCATATGCCTAACCACCGACTGCCTCGACGAGCTTTGTCTTGTAGTGTAGGAATAGGTTGGAAGAAAGCTAGCGGCAGCCAAACCAAAGCATGGCAGAAATCCATGAAGTCACTGACAAGTGGACTGAGTCATGTCGGTAATTGTCGACTACCTGGTTGGGGTCCGCTAGATGATAATAATCGATGGTTAGAGACCTTAAACGACATGGCTCAGATTCGTTTGCTATGGCGCATGTGCATCCACTCTGTGTGCTTTTTAATTCTAACCTTCTGAATTCCTCATAATCTCTATATTTCTCCTTCTAAATATATGTCACTAAATTATACTTTTCGAATAATATCTTCGCTCCCTAATCTTCTCCATCGCTGCTAATAATTCTACTATCGCTATCACTCTTGGATTTGAACTGACAGTTACGTATCTGTGCTGACGTGGTATGGCAACCTGAACTGATGTACTTATGTACGAAGTTCTGCGTTGTATCTGTCTGTCTGTCCTTTCCTGAAATAGTTTCGCTAACAAATGGATTTCTAACACCGGTTTCCTTTATGAGTCTGGGTAGTTGTCTACTGTTACCTATCGCCGCTGCCTTTTCCATCGCTTTTGCTTTCTCTACCCACCACTGTTCGCGGTCGTTGCGTAGGCTTTTTATCAGCCTGCGCTTAAAATGACTTCGCTCTTCATGTTTAGAGCCAGGTGGGATAAGTTTTCGAGCTTCCATCAGTTCGGTAGATGCTACTGAGTTCCACGGCTTCTTCCTAGCCTTATGGTTTACCTTACTAGCAGATATCACTGCTGTTTCCACAGCTTTTTGGATATCATTCCAAGCTACCTCCGGATTGGAATCACTTACATGGTCACCTAACTGTGTTTCTAGTTGCTGCTGAAATATATTCATAGCTCTGTTATCATTAGGTAGGACACTAAGAGGTTTCCTTGCAGTGGCTTTCCTACGTCCGGTAAGTCGCAAACAAATACGCGCTCGCACTAGAGCATGATCTGAATCTAGACATGTGCCCCAGAATGAGCAACAGTCCTCTATCGAACCTCTCCATTGGTGGCTGATTACGATGTGATCTAGTTGGGTCCAGTGTTGTGACGACTTTGGGGGTCGCCATGTCATGAGATGCTTTTCCTTATGCCTAAAGTTAGTGTTTTCTAGAAATAGGTGGTTATCTGAGCATTGTTGCAGCAGACGGTTGCCATTGTCTGTTCTGTTAGCGGCGACACCATAACATCCACCTAGGTGTCTTTCCTGATCACTCAGTCTACCTGCTTGAGCATTGAATTCACCAGCCATTATTACTGTATCAGAGCGCCTAACTTTTTGGAGGAGGTTCGAAAGCTTTCTGTAAAACTCATCTTTAACATCATCTGAACTGCAGTCAGTCGGGGCATAGACAGATACGACGAAGAGGCAACGGCAAGTGTCCCTATCTTTACGAATCCTTACTGTCCTGTTTAGTTGGACGGCGCACAAACGACTATCTACTGGGATCCAGTCTAGGAGAGCTAATTCTACCCTAGGACTCAATGCTGTACCTACACCAGTGAGGCGACGGGAAGCAGCATCACGGCTATCGGATACATGAAGGGTAAATCGAGTTGCTTCTTTATCTTGACATGGTGAGGTCAAGTGAATAATGCTACTCGGATCCTGTATGCGCGTTTCCGATACTCAGTATACATCGATTGAGCGAGATTCTAAAGTCCTAGCTAATGATGCCTGTTGCCCTATTTGACTCAATGTCCGTACATTAAATGCTCCAACATGTCTAGAACGGAGTTTCAGGAGACCAGGAATGGCGTTCCGTGAGCTCGAATCGTTTGCATTAGCGGTGCATTGAGCTGAAGAAACGCGACCAGAGTTAGTCGTAGAGATAAGAGAGATATTACGGGGTGTAAGAAGGATTTGATTTGACCAATTTGGTCTCGTGTGCTTTTGTGGGTATGAGGGCGGTTGTCACTTCCCGGCTGCCCACACCGTGGTAGGTTGTTTCTTGAGGAACCTGAAAAGGAAGGCAGATTAGTGTTGGTCTTGGAGACCTGGGAGCGTGACTGCAGAGTCCAAGGGACCACTGCTTGAAGCCGGTCACGCACGGCCTTTTGATGAAGGGTTTTTTGAGTATTAGCTCCGTTCTTGAAAGCCCTTAGTGGGCACCCTTACCGCCGGAGACGGAAATCCGTGAGATAGGGTGAGGTGTGACATTTTTAGTGTCGACCTTTTCTAACCCTTTCTTCCTTGTGAGAAGGCAGCATCGCTGCAGATGCTGGTTGTCCGAGGGAAACACCTTACGGCTGTCACACCCCTCTACAGTCGGCAGTACGACTTCGCCCTCAGACCTTGAGTAGCTGTTTTTAGTCTCATTGTTCTTCAATCAACCTGGCTGGCATGGTAGAACCTTCAGGAACATAAGTTCTAGCTAATGTAGCCCGGCTGGATCATCACAATAGGCAAGCCCGTCCACCACTTCAAGGTTGCAGCTACGGTCGTGTGAGGAGTTTAGTTTACCAAGTGTAGTTTTTTAAGTCTGACCACAAATTGTCATGACGTTTGTAGATGAATATGATGAAGTTCATGGTGTATTGCTGATGCATAGTTGTTAACTTCATGTATGAATTGTTCAGAATGTAAAAATTTCTCTAAACTTGGTACAAAAACAGTTTCTTATGTAAACAGTATTACAACATATAGTGATAGTTGTGTTGTCTTAAATGTACTTCTAGGTTTTCAACTTGACCGAAACTCTGTACAACCGCTTCAACTTGTCCAAACTAGCGATTTGCTTAAAACACATAAGCGTCCTAAATTCGACTTACGAAATTTGTCCTCGAAAATAGCCAATACAAGTTCCAGTGGAAATATTACTGACCAGATTTCAGATATTGGATCAGTTGTTCATTTTCTCCCTTCAAATCTTCAGCTTACTCCAGTGAGTATCGATAGTGATGGTAAATATAAATACTCTTTAACTGGTTCAGCATCAAAATGTGACATAAATACACAAAGTTTGGCTAACGAAAATCCTGTGAATGTTCAAGATGCACCGAAGTATTACCCGTCTAAGGCAAGTAAACAATTATTCTTTATCATTTAATGTTTCGTATGAGTAGTTAGTATCTCCCACCTCATTGTTTGAAGTTACGGGATATCTGTCCGCAAAATAATACTTTCTTTCCGGAACCCTTTGGTTTGTAATGAGAAAGTACCTACAAGTATTTGACCTGCATCACACATCTGTCCCTTTGGTACTGCAATCTTGCTCCCGGGTTGATGAGAATCCCCACCCTAATCCCTTTCCCTTTCTAGGTTCTTCACGAAGAAATGTTCTGATGAAGTGTGGCCAACTGGAAAGTATCGATCTCTGTTAACTGCATGAGAACTGTTATCTGATATTCTTCAAAGCCGTTTACTTTCTCCCTTTCTGTGTAACTTGGTTGTGTATATTCTTCGAAATTCAACGCTTTCTTTATCTGACTTTTCAGGGACTAATCTCTTTTCACGAAATTTACTTTTAGATTTCGAGTGTATATATGACAACCCTATTTGTTGAGGACCTTGCAATTCAGAGTCTTCTAAATGCTTTGAATAGCAAACTTTTTGCTTCAGGACGAATGCATCAGTTCGTAGTTTGGCCATAGAAAGTGAATTAGCGAAGCTGTCTTACCACCCATTTTAGAAATCTCGACTCCAGCGGATCAGTGTCTGACGAACCCGAATACAGATTCAGAAACTTACTTGACTTTTACTGGCTTGCATCACCCTTGGGATGAGTAAAATGTACATCTACCAACAAAAGGTTATTTATTTTGTTCAACAGTCAGCTGCACTTTGATTTAGGGTTATAAAACATGGCCTATGAAGACAATATGTGCAGAGGTTGAAGGATTTTGTTTATGTCTTTCGCACATCGTGGAAAAAAGTACTTGAAAAATGTAGTAAATTGGTTCATGAGACTTAATTTCCGTCAAGTTAGGTGGCATATTAGTTTAAGCGTCCGAATATCATCCACCAGACATCAAGTTCGAATCCCCTTCAATTACTTCAAATGGACAACCAAGTAAATGTCATTAGCCCTCACACAGTGTGGCTCATACCCAAGTACCTAGTGAGTGAGTAATTATATTTTATAGTAAATATCTTTACTTGTAGTGTTGGCTAACATAATAATAAGTTGGAAAAAAGGTACAGAGGTTGAGAAATCAAAATATGGGATCATATCCTTTTGTAAAGCTTGAGTCGGTTTCTCGAAGAAATTAATCTTTTCTCATTCATAATGAGTTATCCTAAACTTAAGTTGTTTGTAACCTATCACTATTTTTATTTCTAACGAAATTCCGCTCATAACAAGTTAACCTTATCTCTTCTGTTTACTAATCAAAGGTGGACGATAGTTTCATGTATTCTACAAATGATGAGGAGTTTCCCGTAGGCCTTAACGCTGAGGAAGATGGTGTCACAGATGCGGATAATTCTATTTTAGAGTTGAACTGGCCATATAGTAGGTCAAATACGCCGTGCTCTCAAACCGATTCTCATGGTTTGAGTGACGTAATATCTTCAAAGTTAGATGGTGTAACAGATGAAAGTATTTGTGACCTGTTTCTTAATTGTGACTCTCAAAATGAACAAGTGGTCAATAACAATCAGTCTTTCTCAGAACCTACGCAGAAGTTTAACCCCAGATCTACTCTTCCAAAATATCAGTAAGTTTTCAACCTATCAATACAGTAACTCCATTTTCAGCTTTAAATTTACTTGTATCTTTTTGTCTTAATCCATATGCAAGTTATATACCGGTGCTAATGTACATCAATATGAGTTCTTTTAGAGTCGAAATAGGTTTTTTGTTTCTCAGTGTCAAATATAAAATGTTTATATGTGTTTTGAGATTTAAGCTCATGATAGTAATAATATTATAGTATGTTTTGAAAATAATAATTACAGGATACATACCGGAAGCTATAACTAAGAGTTTCTGCTTATTGTTTTCCATTTAAAAGCATTGACGAACTGCTCTTGTATATCAATTGTATGGTTATTATTTATGTCATTTTCAGGAAGGAACCAATAAGAAAACAGCATAAAATTCAGAATACACCTCGTCGTATCATACCTTATGCTGAAAGTGACTCTCAATTCGCCTCAACAACTCTCCGGGACATTGACAGCCTTCCGTGGGAGAAGTATCAAGACAGTGGCTTCGACTTCAATCTCGATGAATGTTCCGTTCCACTCGAAAAGATTACGAGTTTAGAAGGTGAACAAAATCAAACGGAAAATCCAGACAGTTCTTCAAATGGTCTTATAATTGGTACGAATAAACAACAGTCTTTTGATGTTAAGCTATTATTGATAGATTTAATTCCCAAGTATTCCTCTAATTAAATCATTCTTTGGTTATGCATTTATTATTAGTAATTGAAATCATAATTCAAAATTAAAAATAAAGTTTCCTAGTTGTTTCTCTGGAAAGTAAATCAAGGACCGTAAGGGATTCGATAGGTTGTCTGCTTCTTACATATTTAGAGTTCATGTTCCACACAGTTTATCTTATTGATTTCCAATCTGTTTATTCATGCTGTTTAACTTACTGACTTCTAATTATTCCTTTGTTTTTTATGTTAATATTTCACGTGAATAATTCTGTCAGTTTTCCAATAAATTTCAGTAGTTTGAGTGATATTGTATTTCAGCGCTTCATTATCTAATTGTTTTTCTACCACAGGGAAACTATTTTCTGGTTGTTTAAAGTCAATGTTTTATTATTAAAGGATATTTTATTCTATCCGAACCGTTAATTTGCTTGATAGCAACTTTTTTGTAGGTAGAATCGAAACAATTCAAAAGTATTTGACCACTTAAGACTTACGTTCGTAAACCCATTGTTTATCTTCGAACAGTGAATGACATCCATTTTTTCTAATTCTTGCAAATAATCATTGTAATATTTTCTTTTTCTGGATAGGCAATGAAATTATTCCAGTAGAACCGGTTACTTTAAACGCTTGTGATGATGTTATCCAGTTCCTAAAGTCAGAAATTCCTGACAAAAAGTTAGAATCAAATCAATCACATGGGTCATCAAAAACTTTTGCAACAACTGAAGCTAATTCGGCCACTCAAAATGGTGCCCTTGATTTAACAAGCAGTTCGTCCGTACTACCGGCTTGGAAATCAAGACTTCCTGTTAACAATCGGCTCACAATATCCGCCTCTCCTAAAGTTAAACGAAAACGAATACCAGTTTTAATTCACAGACGACAAGTTGCCCCTCTTTCAACTCCTGATTTATGTGAGGGAGAATCGGAATGATGCACAATCCAAATTAGTACTTCCGAATACTTATACTGCAGGTATTATAACTTATCATTATATATATTATGTTTACGAAGCTTTTATGTTTACGCGCAAGGTAAGCTAGATAAGTTTATCAGCTGCAGTTCCGGTGCTGTCAAGTAACTTTTTCTCTGTGGAAAAAATTTATTCACCCATGGATACAATTCCTTTGCCTTGAGTGACACTGAATTTTTACAAAAGCAACTTCGACCTATGCATATGTCTAATGTTATTTTTGTTTCTTGGAATCTATTCGTCTTCATGTTTATGTCCATCGTCTCAATTCCACCCTCTGAATTCATATTTTGAACTGGTAACGATAATGATAATCTTACACACATCGTATCGCTTTTTTATTATGCAAATCAATTTTATGTTCTTACTTTTCCAGTGCTCTTCATTTCATTGTAATTTCTACACCCGGTTCAGTAGTTTCCCAAAGAATTTCTTCACAACAAAGATTTGCCAAAGAAATATATCATGAATCGCTTCTACGAATCGCCATTTCTTCTCTACGTAAAGGTTTTCATGTAACTTCTGTCATTAACAGCAAGTCTCACAATTGTGCCGGATGAACAAAAGTTTAACGACCCTATACAATTGTTTTTTTCAATAAACAAACAAGTTTTAAACATTTCTCCAGTGTGTTTATTGATAAGTCTTATCTGTTTATACAGATTTTAAGTATATCGAGTTTTGTAAATTATGAACGTGGTGTATCAGATTCTATTAAACAATAATTAATATTAATCTTCTCTCTACTTTACTGGGTCATTTATGTATGGATGTACTCCTTTTTAGAAACTAGACTGATCGTTTTCATATTAGTAATCCCCTACTTAGAGCGAAGTCAAATTAGAGTTTAAATATTAACTAGTTATTATTCAAAGTTACTTGTCGTCTAGACAGTGTATGTCACAAGCTATCCACTTCTACTCGTTGGTAACAATTCTGTTAAGCTACAAAAATTGCAAAAATATTATGTATAATAATAGCGTAAGAAGCTGACTAGTGAGTGAAGTTTTGGAAAAGAAAGATATACTAACAGATCAAGTTAATATTTGTTACAATAAAATCAGTTTCGGTGTATTCTACGTATTTATAGCTACTATATACAGTGAGTGAAATAAAGTCAACATTAATATTAGCTACTACCATCATTTTTTTTATTTGAACAACTTGAATGCAGTATCAATGGTTCACAATTTATACGCATGATTCATCTAGGTTACTTTCATAATTACTCCGAAAACCCAGACACTTGGTTATTTTATCATCACGTTGTTACCCATTTTCATTAAGAGACTGTTTTACTTTAAATCTATGCAACTTCAATTCCGAGTCAACTGTTACTAGGTTGTATTCCCACAACATTGACGATTATCCTGGCAAATGTATCGGTAGAATTGTCACTATGCACAATGTGATATATTCATATGATAACAGTAAGATACTTCCTGGTGACTCGTGACATATATATTCACTGACTAGATAGCAGTAGCTCATGTGGATAGTGTTCCATATAGTTATGCCGTATATCGTGGCATATAGACATTGTGACCGTTAGGGTGTGCTTTATCAGTGGAGTAGAGGTTTAAGAATATCTTTGAAGCTGTGACGACTTCCTACATTCGTTGGTTAGTTCCGTGTGCACCACATTAATAACTACGTTAGAAAGCTACTGAAACATAATAAAGCACTCTGAAATACACTGATTTTCATTAGTTCTTGACGGTTAAGGTTAAAATGTTACGGGACCACTGCATTACATATCCGAAAGACTGGTAATCATGTCAGAACTGTCCTGTGGCTGTTCTTTCCGATTGGAATAAATAACTCAAAGAAATAGAGGTATTTCAGTACTCTTACTTCATTAAATATTATTTGGAGCAGCTAAGGGAAGTGTTATCAAGGTGGAAGACGGACATTAAAAGAGTATAATTTCACCTTGAAATACTGCCTTAACTAGTTCTTATCCAGATAAGCATTTACCCCCACTTTCTCTAAAATTAAGTCATTAATTAGTTCTATGACTTTGATACTTTTTCACTTAAATCCTGGGTGTAAAACATAAAGAGCTAACATTAAATATGTGAATGCTATGTCGATACGTGTATTTTGATTGTCTCCAAAATTACTTGGAAAAAGCGTCCTCATACATGTTATGTAAAGTAATATCATGGACAATCCAGTGTCTTAAAAACTACTGGTCAAGATGATTGAAAAAATAATTTAATCAGACACACATTTCTAACTAAGATTTTTTCGTATTAGCTTTCCAATTACGCATAAAAGTATGCCATGATTTTGTGGTCATTGGAGCGTTTGTTATGGAGAACTTTTTATGGACCTGGGTGGGAAGTGTAGACAGGATATTTCTACTCATTCAGAAGTATCACGAATAAACAATCGTTAGTAATAGTAAGAACTAATGTACAAATAAAGGTTATATTTACAAGGGAAGGAAATTACGACTTTTGGAATGATGTTAAGTGGAACTTCTAACAAATAAATGAAATGGAAGAAAGTGTATTATGTTTGAATTCTGTGGGTCTCAATCTATTACCTCTTCTATACTTGGTAAACCGAAGCATACAAATCTAGTAGCATCAGTCGTAATTCAGTTTCTTCATAATTTCTTCGCATTGCTGATATAGGCAAGATTCAAAAAAGATGCTTAGGCCCCAATATTGTCTTACATCCATTCATGTATCTCGTAATTCTCATTTTTGTGTCAGCTGTTCTGTTTTTACGTTTTCCATTTTACTAGAAAAAATTTAATTGCAAGCAAGCTGTTTTTCTAGTATTCATCTCGGGTTTTGAGCGAATAATCTGACCGTGGTGAACGGTCTTCGTTCGACAGTACTACCTATACTATATCGATGCAAACGATCAATCGCCTACCGTCACATATTTTTCCTCGGTTTTAACAACTTTGATAGTAGTGAAAGTAACGAAAGCTTTTAACTTTTCACTTTTTTGTCAGTTGACGGGATTGTATCTATTGTTATGGAGAAATCTACTAAGCTCAGAGGTTTTGAGCCCAATGATAAACCTTACGCTAAGAAAAGTCAAAACATAGAAATGACTCCAAGGATTATTCTAGTATCAACACTCCAATGACTATTCTTTCAGACCTGTTGTTGAATGGATGTCTTATTTCCTGTCCGTCTCTCCATAACTTTGACATTACAAAAAATAAGATGGAAAAACTTCGGCGCATAACCACTCTGAACTTGACATTTGTATACGATTTTGTCAAGCTCAAATCATTTGATATCAACATAATCATTGGAAATTTTCCGTGGGTTAGCATTACGCTTTATTTAAGGTATCTGAAGTGGATTCTGATAAGTTGTTGAATGGTTGTTGTTTTAGTTTGAATCCCCATTAAGTTCATCTAAACTTATGGGTTAGTGATATTTTAGTGTCCAGGGCTCTTACTCCAATTTGTAGGAACTCTTAAGCATGTTATAATTAGTTGAAAGCCGAGTACTGTTTTGTGGATACATATACATACATTGGCGTAAGCAGACAATAAAGTGAAAACGTAGAACGTAATTGATCCACCTCAATGTGATGTGGTATGACTATTTAAAGTCAGACAAAAATAGGCTAGACATGTGATAAGCAATGAATACATGCACTCAGGCAAAAGCAACCAGTTTTATAAGCAACTGACATGATGAATAAGTAATAACTCAAGAACATTGGATTGATTGATTCGTCCAAAAGGATGGGGCAAGCAATCTGGGCTTGATAATATTAATACACACTACTATATATTTCTCATAATTTAGTGGGAATTTAAAGACATTCTGGCATGTATCAATTTACTCTGAATTATACTTCGCAACCGCACAATATAATAACCGAGTTGGGACTCCCATACGATGTCTCCTAGTTTTCAATTGTTGAACTAAAGTCAGTACATTATGTAAGACTATCGGTTGAGAAATCTCCACACAACTACGTTATTGTTAGGATTTTCAGAAATATTGATAGAATAGTGATAAGAGGTAATTGATCTGAAAAATGTGATGTAATTGCGCTATACATTTCGAACAATCTAGTCACACGCATACTTGTCAAGACACTTTTATATAAAAATTAGTAAAAGGTTAATTAAATAAAAGTTCAGATAGACATAAGGTGGTAATTGTAAATGAAGGGTAGGAAATTGTCACATTACCCTAGGCCATACAATGACTTTAAGATTACCACGGTAAACCCAAGGTTATAACAAACTGTTCCTGTACACTTAAGAGAGGTTTTAATTTACGAATAGCCAAAGCATTCATAAACCTCAAAATTCGTCCTTCAACGTTTCTATACAATGTTGTGAAGTCTGTCTTGATATCAAGCTTATGCTCTGTCTCAATTGAGTTTTGTGATCGATGAACATGGTTTTCTGTTTCCCACGTCTATCGGCTCATCTGAAGTTAACTGATTTTGCCTCCACTGAGGAACATGTTTCATAACCCTTGATCGAAAAGTCCGGTTACTCTTCCTTCTGTATGTTTGTTCACACAAACACGTAAACTGTTAAATGCACTGGGATGTGATGCAATCATTCGAGCAATGTTGATCACCATCTATCTTCTCGATATAGCTACTGTCATCCACCCAGGATTGTTACGAATCTACACTTAATTTTGATTCAATATTTGTTAGTAGCATCAACTATCGAATAAATTAAAGTATGATTTACCTTGGTGGCAAAAGTGATTATCTTGATAAAATGTCAAAACCTACAAATCATTTGTAAAGGTAATCCTTAGTAAACAGTAATAAATTCAATGTTTCTCTCTCGATAATATAAGGATTTCTCTCAATGAACATCCTTGGTCTGCTCGTCAAACGTACTATTAATCATGAAACAGTAGATTACTCATTTACGCCTAGTTTGCGGCAATAAGTTAAAATTACACCAATAAATCAAGAAATTTCAATTGGCAAGATGTGTTTCATCATAAGAATACAGATTCCTTTGTTACTGATATTCAGAATCATATTACATTAATTATGACTTAGTATTGTTAAACCTTTCCTTTTTTTCCAAGGTCTGAAATTATCTTACCATGGATAAAAATTATAGTGACTTTTGCGAACACTATCATTCAAAAAGATATATTGTTGTTCTCTCTTATACGTATAACTGGAATATTCACCTCCAGTTTATTAATTCAGTTACTCAAATAACTTCAATTTAAACTCAAACCTCCCCCCTTATTAAGATAAAATATAGTGTTTGTTTGACAATGAATAAACACCACACAATTAAGCGCTTTAGTCATAAACTCGACGCAATTCTCCCATGTTTGTTCATGATATTTTCCTCTCTTCAGGTGTTTGTAAATTTGCAACTGCTATAGTATGCCTTGGACGGTTCTGGAAAATTCTTTCCCTACCTATCTACGTTGTTACTGTCTACTGCATAGAATCAACAATGACTTACTAGTTTCGAAAAAATTGCTAAATAACCTATACTACTTACAGATGCAAAGTAGCATCATCTAGTCAGGTTTAAATTATATGGGGCTGTTCTTTTGAACGGATTGATAAAACAAGGACAGTATTTCCACAATCGAAGAATACCTGGAACTCTGAACAACTTCCAACCAACACCAAAGTCGGAATTTCCAATACAAATGTTAAAACCTTTCTATTGTATGGAACTGAAACTTGAAGAACTGCGAAAGCCATCATCCAGAAGATACAGGTATTTATTAACAGTTAACTGCTTAAGATACTGTGGATCCTCTGACCGGATACCATCAGCACCCACCTACAGTAAGAGAGCACAAAGCAGCTTGAAACTGAGGAAGAAATGAAGAAAAGGTTTCAGAGGTGGACAGGGAACATTGTAAATATCATCCAGCTGTCTCAAGACAAGCCCTCATTTGTAATTCCCAGGTCCAAAGGAAAATAAGCAGGCTGGAAAACACATTACACCGAGAACTGAAGGCAGACATGAAGAGAATGAATAGCACTCGATTAGAGCTGGAAAAGAAAGCCCAGAATAATGTGGGTCGGATAATGCTGGTCGGTGACCCATGCTCCAATAGGTGTAACAGGCGTCGAGAATCAAGTATTCTTACGCACACAAAAAAGCATGAGATTAAATATAATAAATGAAAAGATTAAGTGTTGTTTGATTCACTTTATCATAGTAGGTAGTTGTATATGTGATAATAAACAAATAAATAACGGTTAAGATTGTTGTTTCGCATCTTACCTTTCAATAATAATCGATTTTTGTATAATGCGACAGTGTATAAGCAAGGTTTAGATTGATGAGTATATTATCTTAGAAAGTAATAGTGCAGATTTCAATAGGTATTATAGTTACTATTAATTATAATCTACATGAAAGGGGTTATGTGGGAATAATGAACTAAATAAATGATTGCTTAATCACTCAAAACTTTAAGGAGTGAAATCAAACATGAATAAAATAATGACGAACAAATATCGTGTTCAATAATAACACAATCAGTAATCAATTTCATTGCCTTCACATAACCTAGCAACTACAACACCTATTCTACTCCTTATTACAGCTTACCAACACTTTGATCATAAGTAATCTTGTTCATACACTTAGTATTCCATTCCTCTTGTTATTATGATGATTTCGGCCACCTTTCTAACGTTGATATTTTTGATGTTGCAATGAGAAAAAATTTCATCATCTTTATTTCTATATCGTGATCTTTTGTGTAATAACATTTCTTCAATTCGTTCATCCATTATTCTCATGAATGAAAACTATTTCATCTGTGATTAGAATGTCAAAGCTCTAAAGTTTGAGAAGAAAAACTATCAAATCAGCCAGGTGTGATAAATTCATAATTTAGAAAATATTAGTTGACTAAATAAGTGTGACCTTTACAACAATCTGTGATAAATTCTGTTGGAATTATTAAATTCTACACCAAAACTCTCGTCTACATTTGAAAGGATAGTTTCACAGTAGCTGGGCACCGAGTTAATATAAGTCATTATAAAGGAAAGTTCTATTTGTTACAATTCTCCCTTTTCTCTAGTGTGTGTTCTGTTATTATCCAATGACACTACTTTCTTAAGCAATTACAACAAACAGTTGAAAACAATCAATTGTCTTTCGAATGCCTATAAATTCACACTATTTAGTATACGGAAAGGGCACACTGAAAGACACACTAAACGAATTAAATAACACTATTGGTGGAATTTCAATGTTACACTTATTTGCCTGCTTATCCGTATGTGGGCTGCCTGTTTGTCTGTCCATCATATGAATCCATATTCAGTTCCTTTAATTATATCTATGCGCCAATGTAATTAGCAGGTCAACAGGTTTCTTTCTGTTGCATCTTAAACCATCCTACTGTAAATCACGAGAATGGCATTGCTTTTATTCACTATTGCCTGCTTACTGTTTCTTCAACAGAGGAACATAAATTCTGAATATTACACCGCTGTTGTTGATATAACGAAAGCATGGAGGTTAAGTAAAGAATTGGTGTCGGATCTAAATTCTTACATCGCTCTTGAAGAGGAACGACTTAATCGTATTCGGAAAGTTGTAAAAGTCTTAGATGCTGATGGATCAATTAGCGACTCCTCATCAACACCAAACCAACAAAATGATGATCTGGAAGAATATTTAGGCAATCCGATTAATGCGTATCTTACAATGAAGCGTCTTTCATCAAGTTGGAAATCGGACATCAATCAACTTGTTGACAGTGTACCAAATGGCCTTCAGAATAATGATAATAATGGGTCAGATGATTTGAATATTTCTGACCCTCAAAGCACAATCACAATGAATACAATTCGATCACGTGTTAAACTTCGTACAGATATGCTACCTGGCGATAATGATGTCAGTGGTGCAGTAGATGCGATTCTACGCTTACAGTCTACATATAAACTACCAGCTAGACAACTTGCCTATGGTCAGTTAATTGATAATCTATCGACTCCTCAACTGAATGGTAAGTCTCGTCACTTTTTTAAAGTTGATAAATCGTGATGAATTGTTTAGACTATTTTTTCTTCAGTGTTTTATCCAAACATTTGTGATTTCTATATAGGCAATCTTAGATACTGTTTTAGGATTTATTGAAATCTTCATGATATATGGGTTATAAAGTGTTTGGTTAAATTGACCCTTTAAACATCATATCTACTGGATTAGTCTTCACAAATTGACTTTCGCTGTTGGAGGGAGTAATACTTTATAATTAAAAACGCTTTTAACATATGGTTGGGGTATTTTGGTGTTAATTCATAAACAGCTTTCCTTCTAGAGATAACATACCATCAAATTGGTTAATAATATTTCTTGCATAAGTAATGTGAATGTTTCCGTGGGCGTATACAACCGACTTATTGAATAATAACTAAGTTAGAAGGACAAATACTAAGTTGATTAACAATTAATTACCTCATTATGAATAATAACCGAAGATTTTTGTTCCTGTTGGCCCAAAAATCGTATGTTCCAATATTTACAATAAATTATATTCCTAGAGATGATGTTAAAAGTGTGCTAATTTTGATTTGAGTTTAGCTTTATTAGCTTTAGTCGATTATGGCGGATACTACAAAATACAGAATTTCTTTTGTGACTGTCTTTCTGAAAAATTACACCTTGACTGAGTTGTCATAAGAGCAGACTTCACAAACAGTGAAACGAATTTGGTTTTCCATTAGAATCAGGTATATTTATCTACTTTGACAAGCCAAATTTTATGAACTGTAAGTAGTACATTGCAGAATTTAGGAAGGTCGAACAGACAAAAACAATGAGTAGTATTACAGAATTGAAGCATCTATGGTATGTAGAGTTCAAAAAAAAAAAACAACCCAAATTATCTGGTGTGCGGATTTCATAGATTTTAAATTATTTCTTTCATGAAGTAATTCAATTTCCGTCTGTTATACGAATCATATTTATATTTGCCTTGCTTATTGAAAGCTTGATTTAATTTATGTCAAATGCATTAGATAAACTGAACAAAACAGATGTGTATTAAGATACTGTACTAAAACGTGCTGCTTTAGTTTTGTAAACAGTAAACTTTGGTATTGATTTCCACTAGATTGTGTTTCTGTGCTTACATCATTCATTTAAACTTACTGCTTTGATTACAGAAAAATGTTGTTTGTGCTGAAATTTTCGCTTTTTAATTTCGTGAACTAAAATGGTTTGATTGACGGATCGATAATTTTGATTACAACCTGGAATTGAATGAAAAAAAAAACTACGAATTTTATAATTTGTGTTAATGACTAATGTTCATCTTCTGATAATTTAATTGAATAAGACTGGAATATCTTTCTCTTACACTTTTATGTATAAGAGAGATACAATTTTATTTCATACAAACAATCATGATGAATCAATACCGATGATATTTAACAAAATTCTTTTGGTTTTTGCTTTATATTTATTGATTGTTACTAAACACCATAATTATGTATTCAATTTGCATGCATGCATCTAAGCAATAACAGCGATTACTTTTTAGGTGTAATTGTAAGAGACAATTCCCGACCGTGGCTGCTACCTTGAAGTCGTGGTCGGGCTTGCCTGTCGTGATGACCCAACCGAGCTATATTGGCTGGAACATATGTTCTTGAAGGTTCTACCATGCCAGGCAGGTCGATTGGAGAACGATGAGACCAAAAGTAGCTGCTCACGTTCTGAGGGTGAAGTCGTACTGATGACTGTTGAGAAGTGTGACAGCAGTAAGGTGTTTCCCTCGGACAACCAGCATCTACAGCTGTGCGGCCCTCTCACAATGGAGGAAGAAAGTCGTTAGAAAAGGTCGACCCTAAAAATGTCACACCTCACCCTACCTCACGGATTTCCGTCTCTGGCGGTAAGGTCTTTTAAAAAGAACGGAGCTAACACTTCAAAAACTTCTCATAAAAAGGCTGTGCGTGACCAGCCCCAAGCAGTTGTACCTTGGTCTCTGCGCTCAAGTTTTCAGGTTGTTAAGACCAACAATAATCTACGTACCTTTTCATGTTCCGCAGGAGACATCCCTCCATGGTGTGGGCAGCCGGAAAGTGACATCCGCCCTCATATACATAAAAGCACGCTAGACCAAATCAATCACAATCAAGTCCTTCCTATACCCCCTAACATCTCCCTTATCTTCATGACTAACTCTTCTCACATTCCTTTATCACCCCGCCTCGCCTATGCAATCGATGCGAGTTCACGAAACGTCATTCCTGGTCTCCTGAAACCTCGTTCTAAATTACATGTTAGAGCATTTAATGAATGGACATTGTGTCAGATAGGATAACAGGCCTCCTTGACTGGATCCCAGTAGATAGTCGCTTGTGCGCTGTCCGACTAAAAGGGACAGCAAGGACTCGGAAAGTTGAGGACACTCGCCGTAGCGTCTTCGTCTTATCTGCCTACGCTCTGCCCACTGCAGTTCAGACGAGGTGAAGTATGGGTTTCAAAGGAAGCATTCGGACCTCCTCCAGAAGGTTAAGCACTCTGATATAGTTATAATGGCTGGTGACTTCAAGGCTCAAGTATGTAGACTCAATGAAAAAGAAAGACACCTGGGTGGATCTTATGGTGTCGCTGCCCAAAGAACTGATAATGGCGACCGTCTTTTCATCTGTGGTCAGATAACTGTCTATTTCTAGAAAACACTAACTTTAGGCTTAAGGGAAAACATCTTTTTACCTGGCGACCACTCAACGCTGGACCCAGATCATATTGCCGTCAGCCACCAATGGAGAGGTTCGATAGAGGACTGTCGCTCATCCTGGAGCACTTGTTTGCACTCACACGATGCTCTAGTGCTAGCGCGTATTTGTTTGTGTCTTTACTGAACGTAGGAAAAATATCGCAAGGAAACCTGTTAGGGCTCTATTTAATGATAATAAAGCTAAGAATATGTTTCAAGAACAACTAGAAAAACAGTTAGGTGACCATGTAAGTGATCCCCATCCGGAGGCAGCTTGGAATGATATTCAGAAAGCTGTGGAAACAGCAGTGATATCCGCTTGCAAGGTTAATTATAAGGCTAGGAAGAAGCCGTGGATCTCAGTAGCATCCACCTAAATGATAGACACTCGTAATATCATTCCACCTGGCTCTGAGTACGACAAGGTACGTAGTCAGCTTAAACGCAGGCTGATAAAACGCCTACGCAATGATCGCGAACAGTGGTAAGTAGTGAAAGCAAGTGAGATAGAAAAGGCAACGGCCATAGGCAACAGTAGACAACTATCCAGACTCATCAAGGACACCGGTACTAGGAGCACGACTGTAAGTGAGACTATTTCGAAAAAAGATGGTCTTATTATTCATTCTTAATCCGGGAGATTGGATCCATGGGCAGAACACTCTAGGGATCAGTTCAATTGGCTTTCAGACACACCTCGATTACTCACGATCTCCAGTCATCCTGAATGGCAAATTGATGTAAGTCGTCCGACTTTTTATGAAAATGAGAAAGCAATAGTAGATGTAGGCTACCTGGTTGGGGTCCGCGAGACGAAAGTCGCTGATTGTTAGAGACCTTAAACGACATGGCTCAAAATCGTTTGCAATGACGCAGGTGCATCCAATCTTTTTGTTTGATCAAATTCTAACCTTCTGAATTCCTCATCGCCTTTACCTTTCTTTTTCTAAAGTTATCTCACTGAATTATACTTCTTGAATGCAATCTTCGAACCCTAATCTCTCCATTACTGCTAATACCTCTATTATCTCTACCACTATGGGATTTGAATTGACAGTTGTGTCTCTGTGCTAATATGGTATGGCAATATGAACTCATGTATGAAGTTCTACGTTGTAATTGACTGTCTGTAGGACACAATTACAAATTACTGTAAGCAATCAATAAATTTTTAAATCATTTTATCTAATTTCACAGTGTTATTTTCCAAAAACCAGTTTATTTTCTTTTGTATGCAGGCGTGTTGATTTGATGGATTATTTTTTTTAAAAAAGAAAAACAACAGATTTCAAGTAAATCTACCAGTAATTGTTATGCTAAATCAATTTTATTGTTGAAACCGTCGAAAATTATAGAGAAAGAAATCACTGGTAGCTTCCCTGTATGAGACAGTGTGATTGATTGTTCAAACTCTGTTCCAAAGTTCCGTCATGATCAGAATAGTTTAAAATTCTGTTATACTGACTGCTTAATATATACTGAAAGTGCTTTATAAAGTGATAGTTCCATATCGTAAAATAAAGCAGTTGACTATTAATGAGTGAGTGAAATTCTAAACAATTATACTGCACTGATTTATCAGACACTTTGTCTTAGTTCAAACTCTGTTCAATATTATTCAATATGTCATTGAGAAATACACTGATACGTTTACTTTGTGAATTGAGTATTGTCTGTATGTTTTAGAATGAAAACTCAATGAAAACTTCTAAAATGGATTTCGTTTACCATCATGTGTAACGGATTACACAAAATTGTCACAAGTACTATTTCCATCGAAAGTATGAATTCGTAACTTAAAGGTACAATCACTATGAGCTTATTCGGATTAATTTCTTTTTAATTTACACTATTAGTATGGTCAACTTGACCAAGATACCTGTAACATCTGGTCCTCTGATTAGCCAGTTTTGTGCATATACTTAATTAATTAATTAATTAATTAAGAATCCTACCCTAAAATTTCGTAAATATTTTACAGCTCTAGATAGATAGATGGATATGAACTATTAGAATCATGCATAGATCATTGTTAGATCACCATTAGAAAAATGGACGTACTGGACGGCTGTTTCATCCTACTTTGGTGGTCTAACAATGATCGATGCATGATTTCAACAATCTTCACAACTCTATAAATAAATTAATTACTTACAAGTATATGACTGAGAATGTAAGTCAAGTTAAGAAAGAGATATCGAATAACTTTTCGAAAGTCCTACACAAAATATCTTCCAATGGGATTTGCAGTGTAATTTTTATAAAATGTTGACCACAATTTAAAAGTATATCTGTAAAGTAATCCAGTCTGCTAAAACTGGGCAAGTATCGGTTATTTTTGGGTATTGGTGTCTCGATTACGATTATGAAAGATTCATTCAAACTGATTGTTTGAAATATTGGAGCATCTATGATTTCCATTAGGTCACCTCTTATCTCCTAGTGTTTTATTATTTATTTCATATAATTTAATTACACAATGATAATATACTATGAAACAAACAGTTATGCAGTCTTCCGGACCACAGAGTTAACTCAATTAACTATGGTTAATTACTGCAAGTCTACATGGAACTCCTAATGAACTGAACTCCTTATCTTTTTTTCCTAATGTTTCAGCTGCCCAATGCCTGGAGGTAGGTAAACAAGCCTATTCACAGGGTGATTTTGAGCAATCAGAAGAATGGTTTCGTGTAGCATATGATCGGTTATTTGAAAAACTAGAACGCAAAGAAGGAGTTGTTGCACAGGGAACTACCATCTCAAGTGACGAAACTGAAGAAAACGAACCGACAGTAGGACAAATTTTAGACCATCTTGCCTATTCTCTCGGACGAGTAAGTGAAGGTTTTTTATTTAACCTAAGTTTCTTCTTTCCAATCGCTCGACTCCAAAGTGATTTCCACCAGTTTACTTCACGGTCACACTACATGACTTGAATTTTAAGCATTTATCAAAACTAAAAACTGATTATTTTTACTTATCTAGTTATTTGAAAACGCGTTAACTCACAAAAACTCATTGAGAAAAGTTCAAGTAGTTCGAATGATTTTTGATATGAACAACTTTATCACTTAATTTCTTTCTGTTTCATGATTTACACCCGAAGACTATGGGAGTGTTTGCGTAAACAAGTCAAAAGTGCTCGATGTTTGAATCTGTGTAACAGGACACTCATCATTTGAATCTTTTTTACAACCTATAGGAATATTAAGCAAGTCAGCATGTTTGTCATCAAATGAGAGTGCTTGAACTATGAATGAGTAATAATTCGGATGCAGAGTCATATTATAATTATAAACCCTTTTCTTTGATACTCTGTTACGCCTTCACGTGAACACGTCAACTTGGTATACTTGAACTATTACGAGTTTACCTAGTCGGAAACGAGATCGAGGATCCGGTGACACGACATGTTACTCAAATCTGATTATTACAACCCCCATATTTAGTTAAAATAAGAAGACATGATATGAAGTAGAACGTGTATTCTACAAGCATCCAGAAAGTATGAGGTCCGAATCCAGAAGAGAACCAGGATCCCTGATTAGGGATCAGCATCGAAGTGTGTGACATTGACAGTTAAGACGACCAATAGGAAGCAACATTTGAAGTGACAGTGATAGTCAGGACAACCAATAGAAACAGCATTGGAGTATGTGACAATGATATCTAGGACGACCATAAAATTGACTAGTAGGAATGAACCAATAGGAATTGACCAATAATTCTCTTAGGATATTGGATGAATATCCTAACACACTCACTCATACGTTCGTTCACATTTTGCTTGTTTGATTATTGCAATGCCTGGTCGATTATTATATATTTACCAATAACTATTGGCCATTGTAAGTTAAATCATGAAAAGTATCTTTGCAAAACACTATACCTGTTTTATATTTTGTTTAAAGTCGAAGTGTTGTGTATAGAATAATTGTGGATACAGTGGGCTTATTCCTTCACAGACATTGATATTATCTCTCTTCTTTTTTTAATCTGAATGTCCAAACCTAGTCAGTTAACAATAAAGGCTTTCTCTGTTATAAATGTAGGAATTTTTTGAATGGAATCTTAAAGAGCCTAGTACGTTTTTCCATGTTGCATAACATTCCTGATTTAGTTACCTGAAGGTGATATTAATTACGTGCCATTCAAACTAAAGATAAAATCGAATTTGAAAAACCTACTTATAAGCCAGTCTCGTTTAGGAGTCCTAATCAACAGCCGTATAATATGAATAACTGTGTAGTACCTATAAAATACTTTTGAATAAAAGATAATGAACAGCATATTGTCACTTGATCGGTGATTATAAAGTTTACTGGTCAATTTTCTTAAGCCGTAATATCTGTTTTAGTTGCTAGTTACATCTGAAAAAATGTGGTACACACATAATTGTAGAAGGCAGATAGTTTCACAACATCACAGTTATTGGAAAATCAAGTAAACCATTTCCAACGAGAAACAAGATCTTACAAATAAATATATAGAGTAGATAGAATGTCGCTAGCAGTGGAATCCAGCACACGAGTTCCGTCCTAGTTGGGATTCGTCAGCTGGATGTAACTGTATCCCAGGGTTGATGTTAACCCCAAGATATCCGGCTGAGAAGTCCAAAATAGGACGAAACGCGCGTCCCAGATTCCACTGCTGGCTACATTGGATCTATTATACATAAACTTATGTCATAATGGCTATATCGAGGCAGTTCGCATAGTATTCCCATATACCAAACAAGACTGATCGAATTTCAGTCAAAAATCAACAACGAAGCAATCCAAACCACTTCTAATTGGATTACTAATAAATAGTTTGTATACGTTGTTATTAATCTTAAGTTTATAAAGAGCTCAAACTTCTTCTGTTACATTTACTGTCTGGTGTCATGAAATGAAAGTACACTAATGTTTTAAAACTCAGAATTTTCAGTGTTGTTCTAAGGCCTTCACTGGTAATCTCCCGATGTATTTCTATTCGAATAAGTTCATATATTGCTTTACTGGTAGTAACATTGAGTGGTAACTTTTCACTGATCATCATTTTCTTCAAGCTGATTCTTGTTCTGTTTCATTTTATGGATTCATTAGCCGTGTAGCAAACACCTCATATACAGTTTAAATGTGTCACTTAATTTTTTTTTATTTTTAGCAAGGAAGATACGCTGAAGCATTGAATATAACACGTTTACTCATTGAAGAGGGTAAGTCTACATTGATTTATTCACTTTACATTTGCTTAAAATAGTATGTAAAACAGGATACACATATATACACATATATATTTTCTTGTTGGATGTAGAGTCAAGATATTCAGTTTAGCGTTTCGTTTGATCTAACAAATTCCATACTCATGCTGAAATCATGAATTATCTTCAAAAATAGCTGTTTCGTATCTTGGTAATGAACCGAAACCGTCCACAGATGAGTACACGTAGTTCTGTTAGTGTTAGTATGAAATAAACAAGCTTATTAGAATGTTTGTCTTACCTTAATTATAATCTATTTTACTCAAAAACTTTCTGGATAACACGGATTTTGCGAGTTGATTATTCACTCCAGTAGTAATTTATGTGATTGCAGATTTTATTGGTTTCACATGTGAGAGAATATCTTGGTTTCTTAAAAATTACTATGAATAATAATTGTGTGCATACTTTTCTTTAGAACCGACGAATACACGAGCTATCAACAATGAAGCATACTATGTAGAACAAATAGATAGAGGTGAAGGAAGAATCGGTCCGAATCCTCGTTCTCAAGGTAACGCTACCACATGATTAAATATGTAGTTATATATAGAAGTTTAATTACATGGTCTAATTACTCCGATTATTTATTATTTTAGATTGTCCCAAAAGACTGCTTTTAATGTTCCTAGCCCTTAAGTGAATTCTTACCTTCAATCAAATCTATTGTCATGATTAGTCATTTTCATAAAAGCCCAAATAGGTTGACTTTAAACAGCATTTAAATTGCTAGAACAAAACAGTTAGGCTGTACAGAAAATTTCTAAAATTAAACAAATATTTCATAATGATAAATCTTGATTCATTTATCAACATTGAATATAATACACAGATTCCAGGTATTGTCTTGGTAATATCGTACAGAATTGTCGATACTTCCATTTCGATAGAGAAGAACAACTTTTGTTTAGTAAGCCAATAGGTTTGTGTACATTTGGACTGTAATATTAATAATGAATAGATTCACTCATTTTGGTGAAGTTTCATTCCTCTGAGCTGGATGGTTTGATTATGGAGCTTTTACTATTCTTCTGAATAATATCATCGGCACAAAAATTAGGTAGAAGTGAAGTATTTGAATTACTCCATGTATGACCTAGTAGCTTGTCTTGTTGACCTTGATCTTCATTAGCTGTTATTAACATTTAACCAATCATTGTTTGTCTCTTTATTTTGATTGTATTCACCTGTGATTTAATTCTTGATCCTATGTTTGTTTATGATTTTTTTGATTGCTTGACAAACTGGGTCGATGTCGATATGTTTGTTGATTGCTGATTGACCCGAGTGCCAAGCTTCTGAACATTCTTCGTCCACTTTGTTCCTCATGTGTTGATATTAGGGAAGAAATGTTGTCCGATTGATTGGCGTTTGGACTGGTAATTGATGTTCACATGGACATAGCTGAAGGGGACGTTTACTTTTTCCCATGTAGTGCTTTTCGCAGTTTGAACGGTTTTTTTGTAAATAATGTTCGGTTTTTCTTCTTTTGTCATTGTGTACTTTGGTTTACGTAGAATTGAACAAAACAATTTCATTGGTTTGTGTGCTACACCCATTTAAAACGGCTTTAGTAATATTGTTACAATTTCCGACATGTCTTTTAGTTATGGGAGGGCGATCCGTTAATTGGTGCATGTACTTGATTTCACTTCTGCCAATGGTTTAGGTTGATATTTTCGATGAAGTTGCATGGATAGCCGTTCTTCTGAAAGATAGTCATCAGATATTTTTCTTCACTTTTTTCATGGTTCATGTGTGCTGCAGTATGATTTCACTCTCTTGAATAAAGTCTTTACGTAGTTGGTTCTGTGAGTTCTGTAGTTGAGAATTAGATCTTTGTGGTTTTGGCTCCCTATATACATGAGTCTCCAGTTTTACTGGTGATTAGTACATCCAGAAATGATAATTTGTTAATTGACCGCTTCTTTGTTGTAAATTTTCTGTTATCGAAGACGTTGTTGACCAGATTGTAGGCGTCCTCCACCTCATTCCTTTTGATGAAGAATATGTCGTCTACACAACGAACCCACATCTTTGGGTTGGTCACTGTCAAGAAAATTGAGGCTTCCAGTCTCTGCTTCACTGCATCTGCAATAAGCCCTGAACTGGCGATCTTTCTGTTGTTCCTTTCGTTTATTCGTAGATTTTGTTGTTGAACTTCAAATATGTTTTTAAGTATACGTCGATGTGCTCTGGTAGACTTTGACTTTCAAGTTTCGTATACTTTGGGAGATTTTTGTCGTTCAGGCAGGGATAGAGTTCCTTTCGCTAAGCTTGGTTCGACTGGTGTGAATAAGGCTGTTACATCTAAGGATATCATCAACTCGTTGTTGTCGATTTGAATCTCCTTAAGTTTATCCAAGAATTATATGGGAGATTTAACAGACTGACTAGATGAATAAACTAAATATTTCAATTTTCTTGAAATTTCTGTTGATAAGTTGTATTTAGGGGTTCCAGAAAGGTATATGATTAGAAATAGTGGACTGTTAGGTTGTGTAGGTTCGGCCTACTGTAGAATCGTGGAATAATCGGTGACCTTGTTTTGATATTTATCTTGCCTTGATAAACTTGTTTAAAGTCCTGAAGATTTGGTTGTCTAATCTTTTATCAGATTTTTGCCCATTGGTTCGTACTCATTTCTATCTTCGAGTAGCTCATCGGCTTTTATGGCATATTTTTCCTTGTCCACAATTACTGTAATGTCCATCGTCCGCTGGAACTACGACAATATCTTTCCTGGTTCTGAATTTCCTTAAGAGTTTTCGTTTTAGTGCTGTTAGTTGGCTGTTGTCTCGCTTCCGTCGAGTTAGTGGTACTATGGTTTGTCTTATTTACTGGTGAGTTTCTTCATTTATTCCGTCCTAATGTGGCGAATAATCCGAGTTTCGAAAAGTGTTGTAGTCCAATTCCTTTTTAGAAGTGTTCCATGTTTATGAGATGTTGTTTTGACAAGTTGACCACACAATATTTTGCATTTGCTTCTGTGGATAATTTTAAAATCTTGAATAATTTTTCTTTGAATATGTTTCTCTTCTGTTTTCTTTGTCGTCTGCTTAGCATCTTTGTAAAGATTATTACATGTTCTAATGTATTTATTCTCTCTGGTTTCCTTTTTTCTTCATCCATGTTGTGTTGGCTTTGTGGATCCTGCATTGTGTATCACTTATCATTAGTTGTGCCGTTTGTCTTCCACTTTGCTCAGATCTTCTCGATCCCATTGGATAGCAAACTGATGGTTTGTATCTGACACTTGTTCAAGAGAACAATGAAAGTCCTGCACCCAAACCATCCGGCTCAGTGAACAAAACTGCACCATAATCATCCACCTGAGTTATGAATTTTCCCCACTATCTCATATTCACTCGTGTTTAGTTAATGAATTTACTCAATATAGAAATTTCATGCAAATCTGTCATCAGACATATTAAAACTATACCTCATAACTGTGTGAATAAATCATTTTTGTAATCGCTTAAAACACATCATCTCCATAAACATTTGACAATTATCAATTTAAAACCGAGTAAAATTGAGTTGAAATATTGTTTCATTTAAACCGTACTGGTACTCCATCATAATACAACTTCAGTCGGAAACCACAGACGTATGAATAGTTTCGCTAAAGCAAGTGCCCTGATGATTTTACTGCATAATAAATAGCTATGGTACATTTTGGTAATTCATATCCATACAGTTTTTTTATTTGAATTAATTTTAGTTTTTTTTTTATTTTAATATTTCAGCCATAACAAAGCATGATCAAGAGACTGAGTTATACGAATCATTATGTCGTAATGAAAATCCCTTGCCTGCAGTCCCGTCACATTACTTAGTGTGTCGATATTATATTCCTCATGCGTTTTATAGAATTGGTCCACTTAAGGAAGAAATTTTAAATCCTGATCCACGTATTGTTATGTGGTATGATTTAATTTTTCCATCGGAAATTGAAAAAATCAAGGAATTGGCTACACCAAGAGTTAGTTTCAGTTGATAATTAATTATATTCTTAGTGCGTCTTATACTATTTAAAAAAATGAGATGTGTAAGTACAGATGATGAAGATTGATAGCTGCAAAATAATTTGTTCAATATATTGAAACACTCGTTCTGAAAAGACTAAAACTATGTTTAGAGCATCTTTAGAACTTATAACTGCGAAAAAACTGTAAATTGAAAGATAGGTTATTGTGCTGTGAATATCTAAATTTTAAAAAATTTTTAACATTGGATCAAGTATTTTTTTTTAGTTATAATGCCCGTCTGTATGTTTTAACTCGGCATTCTATAAATTAATTAAAACAGGTAGTTTCGACCTGCCAAAGAATGAGTTTGAACTCCATTATTCTTGACGCTTCCGTAACTATATTCATCGATGGCTATTACTGTCAGTCATAGCTTGAAAATAGTCGAAGGACGTATTTTAAACTACTCATATTTTCGATTTTTTTTTTAATTGATGATTTAGTTAATGTTTGTCAAAAGGCCATAGAATTTATTATATTGATATCAGTAAGAAAGTATCAGAGTTTTACTCACTTGTGTTAATTAAGGTTCCACATCTCAAATGGTGTATATACATAGCAGCCACTGAATTCTTTTCTTGATAACAGACTGAATAATTCTGCGACCAATTTTTTTACAAATTTCTTTAATTATATGCGTTATATCATTTTCTTTTGCTGTAAAAATTTTCAGCTTCGTAGAGCAACGGTTAAAAATCCAGTAACTGGCAACTTAGAGGTAGCCTTCTATAGAACCAGTAAAAGGTGAATTGTTTTTTAAACCTTATGAATCTTTTGAATATTCCAGCATTTTATTTAGACATGAGTTTTTCACTTCCACTTTTACGGTACATTGATGTTCTAATAATTAGTAGACTGAATAAGATTATTCATCGTGTACAATGTTCAATCTAAGTTGGAGGCAAATCATACAGTCCACATTACTTATCTCAGTAGCTAATCGTTCTGCGTTACACTTGAAACGAATTCGAGAGTAAAAAATCTCATTTATCATTGTACTTTAACGTATCTAAATGTTTCTAAAATAGCCCTTATTTGTCTACTACTCAGTAAAATTGGAAAACCATATCGTAAATCGTTCATTTGCAATAGATGAGTTCATCCTATGGAACTGGACTGTTCCTGTTGTCAAACATCAATCCATTGTTACTATTCATGCGTTTCATACAAATTACATTGTTTTCTAACTCTTCCTTTCTTGATCTTCCCCCCATATTATGCTACCAGACTTTACGTTGACACTCACGTCATATACTACTTATAAGTAGTTCGCACCACAGCACCACACTACTACTATTATTATGATAACTAACTAGTGAATAAAATAATGGGATAATCGTACAAACATTGTATGTTTACATTTCATTTTTGATCATTTTTACCAGTATTTATAATTGTTCGTTTTTCATATTCAAACTAAACTTCAGTAATTGGAATGCAAAGCCTATAGTTTTAAGTGAACTTATCACACTGTTAAACTGTGTAGCTAAAAAAAAAATGTTTATCTCTTTTTTGTGAACTCTCCTGGTTATGTTAACAGTCGTAAACTTCACATAGGGATGTCGAACTCTAATAAATTTTCAACAAATATACTTGAATTTTGAATGCATGCAGTTCTCTTGTAATTCGGTTAACATGTTTTCTTTATTAAAATGAATTATAAATATTTGTTTGATCAATGAAAACATTGTTGAGATATCTAGATCAGTCTTGAATAAAATAAAAAATAAAAAAAGTGGGCATCAGAGCGATTTATTCAGATATATTGCACTTATATATGATACTGTGTTTTGAAAATCACATAGAAAATTACTTCTAGAATACACTGCCTCCATTATTTGAAGAACTAACTTTTTGAAAATTCACAAATAAGGTCAACCTGTTTTTAGAGGATTTTCACATTTAGTCATCAGTATGTTCTGTATGGCAAGTGTGTGATATTGAATCATTTTACTCTTGTATTATAAGTTAGTCACTATAGAGTGTTATCATTATGTACTTAATATCAATTATGGTACAATCATTTTTCGGTCAACTATCTTATCATCATTAAACAATATTTTTGATTAGTAGCTTCACTAACATGCTGTTTATTTTCACTTAGCGCTTGGCTTCCACATTCTATGAGTGAAATTACTGACCGGATAAGTCAGCGTATACGTGCTGTTACGGGTTTGTCTCTTGAGACTGCTGAAGATCTACAAGTTGGTAATTATGGATTGGGTGGACATTATGCTCCACACTTTGATTTTGGTCGAGTAAGTTCTTGATAATTTCCAGTTTTATAGTGACTCTATAAATCAGATTTCTAGGTTTCCAGTAGCATTTCATCGCGTTAAATTTTTGTTATGTTGAAGGGTCTTGCGCTAAAATTGGTCGTCAAGATATAGAGATTTACTTCTAGTTATCATAGTAATCATATTAATATATGGGAAGTGTTTACGGTTTATTCATCATAGGCATTGAGTTGGTTGTCGCAATTACAACTTGACTTTTAGTGTGCATAATTTATGATAGTGATCATAACAGTTAAACGAACCATTAATGATTCCTACTTCAAGTTTATATATCTGGTGATGTACGATGAACCTAATTGACTTTTTTTGGCTAGATTATACATTTCACACAATCGTACACTTAACGTTATTGATTTGATAGGAAGTTTATAATATAAATGTGTCTTCTGTTACAACCTATCCTTCTGCATCCTTATGAGTCAGTTGTATTGAGTTAAATGTACTACTAGGTCCTTCAAACTCACACTGTCAGTCAAGTTTCAAATCACGATCTTTGTAATATTAAAGTTATATCAGTTAGCGAAACCGTTCAGAATTAAATCATCCTAGATACTACTAGTTTTATCTTGCCTCATGAATCTTCATTCTTTGAGATAGTTGTTTTCTTTTCTATTGAATCCACTTATTAACTATAGTTTCTCTACTGACGGATTTTTTTCAACATTATTTCTGTTAACATTATAGTGGATTTGGTTGTCTCTCACCAAAGAGCTTGATTCCTCGCATAAACATAATAATTTCCCTTTAGTAAATCCGTTATTAGACTAAATTAATCATAAAGAAGAGTAACCGAAAGGTAAAATCTACACTGGGTTTTTGTTGAACAAGATGAAGCATAAACCGTTGATGATTTTCGAAAAATTATTTTGTCTTTTAATAAATTTCCTAGTAGTATGTTGCAACATATAATAACAAATAGAGTCCACTGCCATCCTTCAATTTTAAAATTTCCCTAATCATTAAGTTTCAATCAGAATTTAAAATAACAAAATAAAGTGTTGGTGAATATCAGATATTTCCATCAAAGACATCTGTGAAATTTACAAGACTATTAACTGATCAGTTAAATTATTCGAGATTTCATCTCTTTTTTTAGAAAGGAACACAATCGTCAGAATTAAAGTAACATACTGTATAATAGAGAAATTCACTCTTTGTTCTCATGTTTACTAATAATATAGACTGACTAGAAGTTGAGACTATCAGAGATTTCGTTCTAATACATTCAACAATAATATGGTATTATTATACAATTTAAATTAATCCTCTTACTCTATTATGTTAAATAATATGAAAGAGTTTAATAACATAACAACAGATTATCCTCTTTGTTCACTGATGTCAAGTTAATACAATATAAATGAATCATGATATAAATTATCTGAGTAAGCAATGCTGTCATCAGGAAACGAATAATAGGTAGGGATGGTCGATCAGTTGATCAAGTATTGAAACTTCATCAGTTGAGTTAGTTGGGACATGCGTTGTGTCCGTCTAAACACCGACTGCCTCGACGAGCGATGTTTTGTGCTGTAGGAATAGGTTGGAAGAAAGTTAGGGGCGGCTTAACCAAAACATGGCAGAAATGCATGAAGTCACTGACAAGTGAACTGAGTCATGTTGCTAGATGTGGGCTACCTGGTTGGGAACCGCGAGACGAAAGTCACCAATGGTTAGAGACCTTGAACGACATAACTGAAAATCGTTTGCAATGGTGCAAGTGCATCCATTCGTTGTGCTCTCTGAAATCCTAATCTTCTGGATTCGTCAACACCTCTACGTTTGTCTTTCTAACCTTATCTCACTGAATTATACTTCTTGAATAGTATCTTCGAACCTTATTCTTCTTCATTACCATTAATACCTCTACTATCTTTATCCCTATGGGATTTGATTTGACATTTACGTCTCTGTGCTAATGTGGTATGGCAACATGAACTGATGTACATACGTACGTGAGAAATTGTACGTTTTAACTGACTGACTAATGATGATATAAATTGTACACTGTGTTTATTTAATCCTAATACATGTTAATTATATGCATATTTGCTAAATTTTTTGTAGAAAAGAGAAAAAGATGCGTTTGAAATTAAGAATGGGAACAGAATAGCAACGATTATTTTTTATGTAAGTATCATTATTTGTTAGTTAGTTTCTCAAATAACTTTAAATTCTTACTTTTCTATCAGGATCAAATAGTCACAATTAGAGTTTTGATCAAACTCCTCTAAAATAAGCTACATTCTTTTTATTCTCATTTGCCTACAATTACTGAAATCCAATTAAGGACAGAAGTCATAACATTATATATGGAACGGGAGATCTGAATTTACTGCGTGAATTGAAATTATACTGTGCCAATTACGTAAGAAAGATTGAGATAAGTTATGACATATGATAATAGTAAAGTAAAATATTGGAAGTTGTATTAATTTAAAATTTTCCCAATTGATTTTGTTTGCTTTCTGTTAATTTAATGCATCTTTTCTAAAATAGTCGTAGGACCTGTTGAATAAGTAGGAGATTCTGTTAGGCTACATATGTTATCTTTTAGGCATAAGATTATGGTGACAGAAACAGTAAGTAATATGAAACTCATGTATCAGCCCGTTTAGCTGGTAGATTCTCTAGAATAACTAAGCTACGGATGTGATTAATATGCCTTCTATGGTCTTAGATTCCTTAAGTGGATATCATTGCTGCAAGAATCAGGTACGTTTTATGTAAGACGGAAACGGTTTGTTCAATTGTAATCATATTGTTTTGTAGCACTAAGATTTGTATGAGCTGAGCTCTGACTGCAGTCGATGATAGGCGATACTTCTGATAATAATACTGCAACCGATGCAACTAGACAAAACAATCGCTAGTAAATAACGTCACTTACACAACAGTGCACGTGACTATGGAAAGAAAATGCAGTACTTTAAAAAAGAGCTCTTATATTTCACGAAAACACGATGTGATAACTATTCATTGCTCTATTTTTTATATTTTGTAAATTAAATTAACCGAAAAGAATATGTGTCAGTTGGATGTTACTCAGATCACGGTAAACTTGAGTTGTGAAAGATTACAATCATAACTATAATAACCGCAACAAATTTTACTGACTATATAAAGCTTACCGAAATATAACTCATTTTCATATCCTGATTAGAGGCTAAATTCTCCGCCCTCGCCCATTAGTTCAATAGGTCAAATAGCAATGTGGGTGGGTTCGACTTAAAATTCCTTATGTTAATGTAGCCATACTGGTCCATTTATTTATTTGAGAGTATGATGTAACTTGGATGAATCATAATTAATATCACTCATAAAAAAAACGTTGTTTTCTATTGTGTTGTTCATATTTACAAGTTAGTCTATATGCTTGCAAGGTTCAAATAGAGATTATTATACTTTTAGGTTTGATATTGTTTGTCTGTGGATACCCCGTAAAATTTTGATATACAGATGCATATTCACAAATTAACGTTAGAAAAAATGATTCAGAATAATATCCATCTATTTTAAACTATGCTGTACGAATAGATTTTTTTAGGTGAAACTTATTAAAATCTGGTCTAATTATGCCACCTATCTGTACTTTCATTTTCAAACTCCAAGAATTTTCTTTTACCTTGAATACTTAAGAGGTTTATAATTGCGCTAACCCTGAAAATATTTGTTTGGTTTCAATTTTTTAAAATCATAATAACTTTAATTCAAAGTCTAGTTTCATAGCTCAATAAGCTACTGATACTATTTGAATAATTGATAGTATGTAAATACTCATTTTTTACTGTAAAAATATGAGCTTACTAGTTCACTGAGTAATATAAGATTTACAAGGATTTATACCGTCTCAATAATATCACATAGCTAAGATTATTTAAAGGAATTAAAGATTACTGTCATAAAACAAGTTCGACAATTATATTACTCAAAAATGAGGAGCGTTATTATTCATCTTGAATACACGCGAAAGACAAATCTAAATAAATGATTTACACAAGGACTTCGTAGACGCCCAACTTCGAGATCAACAGGATGGATTTCGTAAGGATCGATCGTGTACCGACCAAATTGCTACATTACGGATAATTGTGGAACAATGAATCGGATGGAACTCATCAATCTGCATCAACTTCATTGACTACGAGAAAGCATTCGATAGCGTGTACAGGACAACACTGTGGAGGCTTCTTCGACACTCCGGTGTACCTGAGAAGATAGTTAACATCATACGGAACTCTTATGATGGATTCAACTGCAAAATCGTGCACCGAGGTCAGCTGACAGACTCTTTCGAGGTGAAGACCGGTTTCAGGCAAGGTTGCTTACTCTCACCCTTTATCCTTCTCCTGATCATCGACTGGATTATGAAGAAGTCAACATCTAGAGGGAAACACGGTATTCAATGGACAGCTAGGACTCAGCTGGACGATCTGGACTTCACAGATTACCTGACTCTTCTCTCGCACGCACAAGAGAAGACGACCAGTGTATCAGCAGCCTCAGCAGCAGAAGGTCTCAACATACATAAAGGAAAAAGTAAAATTCTCCGATGCAACACAAGATGCACCAACCAAATCACGCTTGATGGAGATGCTTTCGAGGACGTTAACAACTTTACATATCTGGGCAGTATCATCGACGAGAAAGGTGGATCGGATGCAGATGTGAGGGCGCGGATTGGCAAAGCGAGGGCTGCATTTCTACAGTTGAAAAATATCTGGAACTCCAAACAACTATCAGTCAACACCCGAATGTGGATCTTCAATACAAATGTCAAGACAGTCGTACTGTATGGAGCGGAAACTTGGAGAACTACCAAAGCCATCATCTAGAGGATAAAAGTATTCATTAACAGCTCTCTACGCAAAATACTTCGGATTCGTTGGCCAGACACAGTCAGAAACAACCTACTGTGGGAGAGAACAAACCAGATTCCAGTGCAGGAGGAAATGAGGAAGGAGCGGTGGAAATGGATAAGACACCTAACTGCGTCACAAGACAAGCCCTCACTTGCAATCATCAAGGTCCAAATAACACATTACACCGAGAAATAGAGAAAGATATGAGAAGAATGAACAAAAATTGGACAGAATTAGAGAAGGAATCCCAAGACCAGGTAGGCTGGAGAATACTGGTCGGTCGCCTATGATCCTTCGGGGGTAACAGTCGTAAGTAAAAATATCAAAATTAATACCTAAGACTTACGCTTTCGTGTACCTGAAAATTATATCCAGACTTCAGTACTTAGAAGTACCAATATATCATCATTAAAGTCCACTGTAGAAGATAATTCCATAGTATTATTTATTTCCTTGACTTTAGATTGTTTGTCATTAACAAAACACTAATTTGTCGTTCCCACAGTACTGTAATCACTAGTAGTTTTCAAACAAAATTATACAAAACAGTTTTACATCATACCATATGTACCTTTCAATAATGTGTTGTACTAGAATACCCTGATCATTTCTAAGTGTACAATAAATTTTGCAGTAATGCTAGTGTTTTTTTTAACTTCGTGTGTCATGGACACTGATACTCACTGTCAGTCTTGATCGATTTCGTTTGTCTCTTAGTTGTCAATTTTTGTAACTTAATTGTGAAGTACAGGTTCATATTATTTGTTTAATAGTTTATCCTAATGTCATCTGTCCAACCTAAGTTAGATAGAGCAGGGTACAAAAATTCTACCTATTAATTGAAATCTCAGTACTCTAAACAGCAAATAACCACTGAATTTCATCTCGCTCATCTTAAAGTTTACGCTGATATGTTTCGGTATACAAAGTATGGACAGCGTCTTATGCAGAGCACTTCATTTCTTTGAAATTGTACGTTTCCTAATTTCGATATGGAATGGATGAATTATTCTACTTCATCATGTTCTCCTTTATCAGTGTCTCTTGGTTCACATATTGCCTGTGTCTGTCGATATCTTCTATATTTCATCCATACTTTGATGTAACATACAATCACATTGAACTCATTAATTTATCAATGCCCTCCCACTGAGTAAGTGAAGGTGATTTCTACTCTTTAGTTACTGTTTACTTCGATATGAATTTTTAGTGAAAATCATGGAGGTTCTGATGTAGAAGTATTTGCCGAGTCAAAACAAAAGGAATTTTTATTAGAACTCATTCTGAGATCTAGTTGTTTCCTTAGTTATCACTTGGAAAAAGAACGATTTTTCGAACACTTTGTAATTACATTAAAATTCTTCCTAGTTTCTTTCTTTTCCATTTAGAAGTTTCACAAACTCTACGTAACTGATTAAATCTTATGTTATATATTCTGCATCACAGGATTCTGAGCGCTGTTGATTCAAACGTCAGATTTTTTATATTTATAGTTATCTGATGTACAAGCAGGAGGAGCCACCGTATTTAATCGCATCGGTACACGTGTGGTCCCTAAGAAAGGAGCTGCTGGCTTTTGGTTCAATCTTTTGCCAAGTGGAGAAGGAGACCTACGAACTAGACATGCTGCTTGCCCAGTTTTAGCCGGCTCAAAATGGGTAATGAATTTGTGGTTTCATGAGCGTGGTCAAGAATTTCATAGACCATGTGAATTAGAGCGTGGGACAGTCGAAACAGATGATGGTTTTTAATTATAATCACTTCTGTTTCTTTGGAAACTATGCATTCACTATATTACTTGTTTGTAGTTTCCTTTTGTATTCATTTTGTTGCTACCACATATACTATGCACTGATGATTTTGCTAAATAACCTTTGAAATGCTTATTTTCATTGAAAACAGTAAAGTAGTGTATTAGTGAATATTTCAGTGCATAAAATATAATCAGTTTTAACTGATTTCTTTTTCTATGCTTCCTTATGACGAATAATTTTTCTTTCTAAAAAGAATGATCTGGTACACATGGCTTATAAATCTGATGACTCATCATTTTTAGACTACATTTTGTACAGAAAATTTAATGGTTTTTTTTCTGTTCAAAAAGAAAATGGACTAAATGTTAAGCAATTTAGCATAAATAGTTATTTTAGTGTCTGCATTGCACAAACAACTGAAAGCAATGTCGAAAACGATGAATAGTCTGGAGTTATTTATTTATTTGAAAAAATCAAACAGTTAAATCAATACTATCTAATTTGCTAGTATTGACTATTATCTCCAAAGTACTATGATACCTTTACTCTTTAAACATAGTATACTCACTTATTAGCATGCCTGCAGGACAGCCGTTTCATAATCACATTTTGATGTTGCGTTGGATAGGTAAATGTTTATTCATTTGTTATAAGAGGGAGTGTATGCTAACAATAACTGCTTGTAGTGTTATAATTAACGGATAACTGCAAACAATTCCTAAAATAAACATTTATTAATTTGAATTTCACCGTTATCTTAATTCGTTTTTTACCTTGATTTTCTATCTTAATTTCCGAATGTTTCTTTCTCAATAAAACGCGTGGTTTAACAGTAGCCTGCACAGTGTTTGAATCAACCCCAGTTGTCCATCGATTTGTTGTTGAGACCTAGACTGTCAAGGTCTCCTGTGCTGTCTCGTAGTCGATGAAGTTGATGTAGAGTGGTGAGTTCCATTCAATTCATTGTTCCACAATTATGCGTAATGTTTCAATTTGGTCAGTACACGATCGGTCCTTACGAAATCCAGCCTGTTGATCTCGAAGTTGGGCGTCTACGAAGTCCTTCATTCTGTTTAACAATACCCTGTTGAAGACTTTGCCTGGTATTGAAAGAAGAGTGATGCCTCTGTAGTTCTCACACTTGGTGAGATCTCCTTCCTTTGGTACTTTGATGAGGTATCCTTCTTTCCAATCTGACGGTATTTGTTCCTCATCCCAAATCTTCTTGAAGAGGATGTGAAACTTTTTCGCAGTTGTTTCCACGTCTGCTTTCATTGCCTCTGCTGGAATGTTTTCCGGACCTGCTGCTTTTCCGCTGTTGATTTGTGTGATGGCCATGCTGATCTCCTCAATTGTAGGTGCGCCATTATTAATTGGGAGGTCCGTGGATGCTGCTTCGATGTTGGGTGGGTTCAGTGGAGCTGGTCGATTCAGGAGTTCCTGAAAGTGCTCTACACACCTGTTTAGCCGTACTTAAGTGTTGCCGATTACTTTGCCTTCCTTGCTTTTCACTGGTCGGTCTGCTTTACGATAATCTTCAACGAGCTTCTTCGTTGTATCGTATGTTGTATCTCATGTTTCCTTCTCTTGCAGCCTTTCCCGCCCTCATTGATAGATCCTCCACATATTTTCGTTTGTCAGCTCTGATGCTCTTCTTCACTTCCCTGTTTGCTTCTGTGTATGCAGCTTGTGCCTTAACTTTCTCTGCTCTTGTTCGGCTGACATTGATTGCTGCCTTCTTGTTCCTCCTTTCTTCAATTTTTTCAAGAGTATCAACAGAGATCCATTCCTTGTGATGGTACTTCTTGTGACCTAGAACTTCGTGACATGTTGAAGTGATTGCCTCCTTGATCCCTTTCCAATTGTTCTCCAACGTTGCTTCCTCTCCATTGAGTGTATCGTGCATGGCCTGGAACCTAACGGTGAGGGATATCTCGAATTCGTTGAGTTTTACGGTATCCAGAAGAAAGTCTGTATTAAACTTGTGTGATGTTGTCTGCCTCGTTTTCCAGTGTTTCTTGAGTTTCAGTTCCATTTTGGCGAACAGTAAGTGATGATCTGAGGCTATGTCAGCTCATCTCTTGTTTCTCACATCCTCCATAGTCCTTCTGAACTTTTTACTGAAACAGATATGATCGATTTGACTCTGAGTAGTGTGATCCGGTGAAATCCATGTAGTTTTGTTTATGCGTTTGTGTGGGAATATTGTGCCACCGATGACCAGTTTGTTGAAGGCACATAGGTTTGCAAATCTCTCACCATTTTCGTTCCTTTCTCCCAGTCCATGTCATTCCACGATGTCTTCATATCCAGTGTTGTCGATGCCAACCTTGTCATTCAGGTCTCCTATCAGAACGGTCAAATCCTTTGGTGAGCATCTGTCGATGATTGACTGCAGCCTTTCGTAGAATTGATCTTTAACGTCGTCTTTGTAGTCATTGGTAGGTGCATAACATTGGATGACGCTCATTGTAATGTCCTCTCTCTTTGTTTCGAAGGATGCTTTAATGATCCTGGGTCCATGAGATTCCCATCCTATCATGTGCATGTTTGGACAGCATCAGTGCAACTGCTTGTGTATGTGAAGCGTTTTCCTCTTCATGATCTGAGTATAACAGCAGTTCCACTGAAGCAAGTCTCAGTTGTTCTACCTTTGTCCAATGCACTTCACTGATGCCGAGCACCTCGAGGTTGAATCTTGTCACTTCTGCAACAACTTGGAATAGTCTTCCAGTCTCCCACAAGGTACGAACGTTCCATGTACCTAAAAGAATGGTTGCTCTGGTTGTCAGAAGAGGCATCGGCCCCGTGACTCTCGAGAGAACTCGGCTTTCATCACGCGACGTTATAATCCTTCTTCCAACTTCCAGGGCAGAATCAAAATGATTTGAATTATATCTTCTTCTTACCGTTTTTTTGGCAAGTAAGTTTTTCGGTGGGATGGTGTTGCCAACCCCATGTCCAACCCTCCTCCTTTGTCCGGGCTTAGGACCGGCAGTAGCCCCGAAGGTTCTACTAGTGGGATACCAAAATCGTTCCAGATAAGAAGGGCAAAATTACAGAGTGTAGCCGAAATTGCAGCAGAACAAATAGAAATTTTGCGCGTACATAGTAGTGTTAAACAAAGTAGTTCAGTGAAACAATCACTGGTACAATTGGTTATGATAATGAATGTTTCTACTAAATCGTTGGTGTTCTCTTCATAAAAGTGTTGTCACTACAAGTTCTTGAACGATCGATGGTATATTTTAAACTCATTTATGAAGGTTTGCAACCATCGTCGTACAAATAGCTTTATGTTGCACTATCCATGGTGTAGGTTTTTGTTTGGTGAAGAAAATGAAAACTTCATCCTAACGCTTCTTTTAGTACAAAATGTGCATTCTACACATTAAGTGATTCAATATTTATATTATATAGCTCTAACTACTGTTTAATTGTAAGATCACATTTGGGACCAAATGTCCGATAGCATCTAATGAGACACTGGTTGAATCGTAAAGAACTGCGAAGACTGCGTGTAATGGCTATACTTAAGCCTTGAGGAATCGCAACAACCACAAAGTAGAGTCACTTCAGCGATTTAGAAGGTTCCTGAGGAATTAATATCTGTTGCGTTTATCAATGATAAGATTATAAATGGAGTGAGGACAGGAATTCTGATGTAACTGCATCTACTGAACACTATTTATGACAGTTCACCATTCCATCGTATGCTTCTGTTAAATCTATGTTTATTATGGCTAAAATATGAAAGCAAAGGAGGTAGGTTGGAATTTTAAGGTACTAATATGTTATCAATAATATACAGTTTGTCAAGAGGCTGGGTTTTGATTGTGAACTGCCTGTTTGATTCGTTTCTTTCATGATTCAAAGGAAGAAGGTAAATGAGAACCTAATTAGCAGTGCTCACCAACGTGATTAATGTGTTTAACGGAGTGTATACTGTAAACGAAGTATTCAGGACCATAAGAATATTCATATTCTATAAGAAACCTATTTAAATCCATTTCAGTAGTGTCTATTACTAAACTCTGACAGAACCTAATATGGGATAATAGGATTTAGTGGCCCGAGGCTTGAATCCAGTTTGGACGAATGATCGAGTATGCAATGAAATAAATCCTCTTTTCCTTTTCCGTATATCATACATAGGCAAACCCCGTTTGTGCAACGGTGGTAATAAGAAGCCGAATACGGTTTTGTTTATGAACTTATTCCATACATTCATTTAAGCAAACTGTCATTAGAACGAAAAGCGTACAAACAAAGAGAAGCAAATTGGAGGTGGCGAATGACCCAACTCTCATGAGCTCAAGCATGACTAAGTATTTATAGTTAGGCAGTAATAGTCTAGACACGTAATAAGCGAGTAAGCACGCACACACAATCAAAGATACACTAGTCGATACTGTTATTGAATAATTACAAATATAAAAAATGGTCGATACAATAATGGAATAATTCAAAGGGCCAATCAGTGAAGTTGATTTAATGAACAAATTGTGAGGTGCTTGATGTTCATGGATAATATTACATGTGTACAAGTTAGGTAAGAGAGTTGTTTTAATCACAGACTCCGTGAACATCGTTAATCTTATCACTTTCCAACCTACAATAGAGAGTGATAAGGCAGTTCGAAATAAAAAGTTTATCTAAATATTGGCACTGGGACACCTTGAGCTAACTCTTATGATGTATTTGAAACCCCTCAAACCATAGTTGAATACAATGATTTTCATCATCAGCGAAGTACCATTTTATCTCGATTCGCTATACTCTCATAAACTAACGGGTAACGACTTGAGATTTTTACATAACTCTAAATGTTCTCGTCACTTTGAAATAACATGGAGATAGTAGAGTCATTAGTTTTAATTATGGTCACACAAACTCTCTGAAAATTCAAGGAAATCTCATATCAACAAACTTAACTGAGAAAAATTCGAGAGTAAGGGAAAACAGTAACTCTTGGCGTCTTTGCGTGATCAAGTAGACTGACAAAAACTATTTTCACTAGCTGCGTAGAGGTGAACTAATGGACAAGACGCTTGGTTTACAGCAAGCATGCTGCAGGTTTAAATGTCACTAAATATAATTTTATTTGAAAGACTAGACAGTACCGCTCATTTATTTATTAAAACACATGACTTTGGGCACAAAGAAGCACTGAAATGTATATGTGTCAAAGATAGGGGAATCAGTGGCTTTGGGGAGATACCACTTTAGTGCCTAAACAGAACAGGTGTTCGACTTACGAAACACTTCAGCGAGCCTTTCATATTGTGCTGTAAG